AGGAGTCGATCCCATTTACAATTGCACCCAAAACCGTAAGATACCTAGGAATAAATCTAACCAAAGAGGCAAAGAATCTGTACTATAGGACTATAAAATCTGTACAGAGGACTATAAAACACTCATGAAAGAAACTGAGGAAGACACAAAGAAATGGAAAAACGTTCCATGCTCATGGATTGGAAGAACAAATATTGTGAAGATGTCAATGCTACCTAGAGCAATCTACACATTTAATGCAATCCCTATCAAAATACCATCCACTTTTTTCAAAGAAATGGAACAAATAATCCTAAAATTTGTATGGAACCAGAAAAGACCCTGAATAACCGGAGGAATATTGAAAAAGAAAAGCAAAGCTGGTGGCATCACAATTCCGGACTTCCAGCTCTATCACAAAGCTGTCATCATCAAGACAGTATGGTACCGGCACAAAAACTGACACATAGATCAATGGAACAGAATAGAGAGCCCAGAAATGGACCCTCAACTCTATGGTCAACTCAACTTCAACAAAGCAGGAAAGAATGTCCAATGGCAAAAAGACTGTCTCTTCAACAAATGGTGTTGGGAAAATTGGACAGCCACATGCAGAAGAATGAAACTGGACCATCTCCTTACACCACACACCAAAATAGACTCAAAATGGATGAAAGACCTGAGACAGGAATTCATCAAAATTCTAAAGGAGAACACAGGCAGCAACCTCTTCGACCTCAGCACAGCAACTTCTTCCTAGACACATCGCCAAAGGCAAGGGAAGCAAGGGCAAAAATGAACTGTTGGGACTTCATCAGGATAAAAAGCTTTTGCACAGCAAAGGAAACAGTCAACAAAACCGAAAGACAACCGACAGAATAGAAGATATTTGCAAATGACATATCAGATAAAGGGCTAGTATCCAAAATCTATAAAGAACTTATCAAACTCAACACCCAAAGAACAAATGATCCAATCAAGAAAAGGGCAGTAGACATGAACAGACATTTTTCCAAAGAAGACATCCAAATGGCCAACAGACACATGAAAAAGTGCTCAACATTGCTCGGCATCAGGGAAATCCAAATGAAAACCTCAATGAGATACCATCTCACACCAGTCAGAATGGTTAAAATTAACAAGTCAGGAAACGACAGATGTTGGCGGGGATGTGGAGAAAGGGGAACCCTCCTACACTGTTGGTGGGAATGCAAGCTGGTGTAGCCACTCTGGAAAACAGTATGGAGGTTCCTCAAAAAGTTGAAAATAGAGCTACCATACGACCCAGCAGTTGCACTACTGGGTATTTACCCCAAAGAAACAAATGTAGGGATCCAAAGGGGTATGAGCACCCCGATGTTTATAGCAGCAATGTACACAATAGCTGAAATATGGAAAGAGCCAAGATATCCATCAACACAGGAATGGATAAAGAAGATGTGGTATATATATATACAATGGAATATTATGCAGCCATCAAAAGGAATGAAATCTTGCCATTTGCAACACCATGGATGGAACTGGAGGGTTATTATGCTGAGCGAAATAAGTCAATCAGAGAAAGACATGTATCATATGATTTCACTGATATGAGGAATTCTTAATCTCAGGAAACAAACTGAGGGTTGCTGGAGTGGTGGGGGGTGGGAGGGATGGGGTGGCTGGGTGATAGACATTGGGGAGGGTATGTGCTATGGTGAGCGCTGTGAATTGTGTGAGACTGATGAATCACACACCTGTACTTCTGAAACAAATAATATATTATATGTCAAAAAAAAAAAAAGATAGTAGGAAGGGAATAATGAAGGGCGGGAAATCGGATGGGGAGACGAACCATGAGAGACTATGGACTCTGAGAAACAAACTGAGGGTTCTAGAGGGGAGGGGTGTGGAGGGATGGGTTAGCCTGGTGATGGGTATTAAAGAGGTCACGTATACTGAAAGGAGCACTGGGTGTTATATGCAAACAATGAATCATGGAACACTACATCAAAAACTAATGGTGTAATGTATGGTGATTAGCATAACATAATAAAATAAAATTTTTAAAAAAGAAATAAAAAAAATAAAAAATAAAATAAAATAAATTGTCAGCATGAGGAAAATATAAGGCCTAAAAGAAAGAAGCCAGGACCACTTCTCAGTTTTCAAAGACTCGTTAGACCCTGGGGGTCATTTGGTCCAATATTCTGTCTAATACAGGCTTTCTTCTAGAAAAGCCTGAAGCAATCCCTATTTTCATTTTCTGCATTCTTTATACGTGAGGGGAAACTATTCCTGAACTTTTTTGTCCTGGAAAAGGAAAGGAAATTGGATAACTTTCTAAAAATTTATTTTTCCTCACTTTGGAACCAGAATGATCTTGACTCAGGTTTAATATAGTCAAATAAATCCCTATAAGTCGAGAGTTTTCATCGGAAACTATGACAAAAAGGAGAGAAGTCAATGGTCCCTGAAGGCGTGTGCTCTGGTTCCAGTTTGGCTACTCCCTGGCTGAGGCCTGGGCAGTCACTGACGGTTCCTGGGCCTCCATTTTTTACTCCCATGAAATAATTAACTGATTTCTAGAATTCTTCTAGGTCTAAATTCCCTGACTCTGAAAGTCGAGATGCAACACCCACTCCTGGGTTAAAATATAGCACAAAGCAATCAAATTTGAAACACTCTCCATTTCGGCTTTATAATTTCTGCTAAAAATGATGTATGTTGGCATTTTAAAAAAAGGCTTCACTGGCTCCTAAAAAAGTCTCCTTAATTAAGGGTAGCCCATAGGAGGAGGCAAGAATCTTGCTATTTTAAACCAGAAGAATGTAAGTATGTTATATTTAGAGAAAGATATAAGAAAACTTTTAGTTTTTAAAAGGTGCTTTGTTGTAGAAAGTTCCCTGTATTTTCTGTATAATGGAGGATACAGAAATAGGAAGAGAAAAGTGTTAGAAGAGCTTGTTACCTTTAGTCTCTAATCTGGGGGAGGAGGACTCAGCACGAGCCCAAGTCACATACATCTACCTCATTTTATTCCTTAGATATATATCATTTAACTTGAGATATAACTTTTCTTAAGAATACGATGTCTTTTTGTTTAATCTGTGACGTGCCTTCTCAAATGCTATTTATGGGTTTGAGAACATAGCCGGCAAGATAGTTTGTTTAACTGATGAGACTGATTTCTGATTGATAATGGCTTAAAATCGCTGACATCTTGAAATATTGTAACCTCTCTCAATTAAAATATACATATTAAAGAAAGCTGAGTAAAAACTTATAAGTAGCTAATAAGCTAATAATAAGTAGCTTTGCTTTTCACCAAATTTTACTAATGTATTGCAAAGAAATCATTAAAGGTTAAAAAAATCTACTAGTTAATATCCTTAAAATCAGTTCTTTTAGGCACTCTTGTCTAATCATCATCTCATGATATAATTAAAGCAGAGTTAAGTGCAGAGAAGTTCTCTGAATAAAGATTTTTTTAAAGTTTTGTTGACAGACATTATAGTCCATGTGTGTGACTTGGAGATTCAAAATTTTAGTGTAGTATATGAGTCGTGTAATGCTAAAGGTTTATAAATAATGACTGCAAAGTAACCTGTCTGATTTCTAAACAATATTTCAGCATTTGTACATCCAAGAGAGTACTATCCTCTTCAAAGTAAGCAACTTATGTTGCCATTCTAAATATTTTTGGAACTTACTTATTCATTCAACAAACATTTATGATAGATCAGACACTATGCTAGGTGCTACTGGGTGCTATGAAAACAAGGGGAAACAAGAGGTGGTCCCTATGCTCAGGAAGCTTATGTCCATTGAGGAAGCCAGTGATTCAAACAGAGAAATTGCTAAAAACATGACAGTGAAAACCACAAAAAATGTGAGCCATTGTGGTACCCAGAGGCCAGAGGCATCAAGCCTGCCTGGGTGATCAGGAGAGGCTACTCTTGAGAATGTGACATATGACTCTGGTCCCAAAGGATGAGCAGGACTTGACCAAGAGAAGTAGGAAGACCAAACAGAAAGGACAGTTATGACAGACCTGGCATGCTGGAAGAATGAAAACCACACAGAGTTAACATGGTAGACTCTTCTGAACATTCCAAACTACGCTGAGTGACATTGAGAGAATAGCTGGGTAGTCAGACTGCACAGTAACATTTTTGGTCAAAACTTCACAGGTTTGAAGGCAATTCCAAAGAGGTTCTCTAAATCTCTTGAACAATGAGAACATTGTTGGAATAAGCTTAAAACTTGGCTTTATCTCCATTCACTGCTACACGCCTGGTACCTAGGTAAATACTCAGTAAAGAAACAAACACACTAATCCAAAAGACAAGATTCATTTGCATATAATAACAATTGACATTTGATCATTTTTTAAGGTGTTTTCCCCATCATCATATATAAATCATGAAATGTTAAAAAAATCTTATTTCTTTATAATCATTCATATTTTTTTCCTCCATTAGATTCTTTGAGGACACAGACTTTGTCTTACTCATCATAGTATCCCTAGTACTAACTGTAATTATAATAATAGTTAAGTTGTATATAGCATCGACTATGTGTCAGGAAATACACTAAATACATTACACACATTAATTCATTTCATCCTTACAAACTGTCAGGTAGACACCTTTAACATTGATCACTCCCATCTAACAAGTGGGGAAACAGGCATAGAGAGGTTCAATAACTTGCCCAGTATCAGATGACTAATAGAAGAGCTGGGAGTTGAAGCCAAGAAGCTTGGCTCCAGAATCCATGTGCTTAACCTCTATGTTACACTGCCAAGCACAGTGTATAGCACACAGAAGATAGTGATTAGATGTTTGTTGAGCAAATTCTCTCTCTTCGCAAGGAACATTTTTCCCTACTTAGCAATGGAAACTTCCACTGCACAGGTCAGGTTTGCTGAAAGTCATTTTTGTTATCATTATAATAACCACATGCAAACCTGTTAGAACACTGGTGTAGCAATACAAAAATCAGGATTCAGCAACTGTTATAAAAACATGTTGAAATACCTTCTAGTTCACCAATTTTTTTGGCAAATACTTTCAGTTGTTTTTTCAGTTTCCGAACAGTCTTATCTTGTTTTTCAAGTTGTTCCATCAAATCCTAAAGATTAAAATGAGAAATATAATAGAAAGATCAAAATGGGCCTTCTAAAATGCACAGAGAAAAAGCACACACAAAATCACAGGCGCGACACTGTTAGTTTTACATAAAAGCTCCAGAAAAGCTCGCTGGTGGAGCCACCACCTGGCGAAACTTGGCAGGCATGGAAACGCAGCTACAGTAAAAGCCAAATGTTAAAATACACACTGCAGTAAATCCTTTACAGCGTGATGGAGAGCAGGCTCACTGGGGAGTCTTTTCCAGCAGGACTCCATGTGGGTAAAACAATTAAATGCTCGTAAAATGTACTGCTTTTTCAGTGGAATGCTTTCTCTCAAGGGGGGAGAGGCAAAATAAATGTTGACAGATGCTCAAAAAGTTCTGTGGGGACACAATTTTAGGGATGGCTGAACTGAGCTCAGGGCTTCTGACTGACACCCGTGTGTGAGACCCACCCTTCGGAGATGCTAACTTTAGTCCTGTAACTTAAGAAGTTTGGGGAATCTTAAAAGGTAACTTGAAAAACTAACCACAGAGAAAGGATAAAGAGTGATCTGCTGACCTACATCCTAATGGCAGGTGGCATAACACACCCATAACATTTCACAGGCGATAAAATTTTGCTTATAGAGGAAAAAGGGGGCAATTCCAAATGCTATATATGCAAAAAAACAACAACAACAACAACAAAAAACCCAGTACATTGAAGGGGACAGGGTAAAAAAGTCTGTGATGACTAGCTATTTAATCAAGAATTCTCAAATCACAGGCAATGTTAAGAGATCAATAAGTAGGGGCGCCTGGATGGCTCAGTCGTTAGGCGTCTGCCTTCGGCTCAGGTCATGGTCCCAGGGTCCTGGGATCGAGCCCTTCATCAGGCTCCCTGCTCGGCAGGAGACCTGCTTCTCCCTTTCCCACTACCCCTGTTTGTGTTCCTGCTCTCACTGTCTCTCTCTCTCTCTCTGTAAAATAAATAAATAAAATCTTTAAAAAAAAAAAAAAGATCAATAAGTAAGAAGAAAGTGGGTAACAGCAGGCTCGAAGCTTAGGAGAGAAGTCAGTCAGTGCTATCTATGTGTGGTTTTATTCAGGTTGTGCTGAAGGAAACATATACAAACACAAATAGTCATTCACTTTCCAGTTCAGACAGCGCAGAGTTAGATACTAGACCACTGATCCAAAGGGAACAGGTGCTAACATTTCCAAGTGTTCAGTTGTGCTTCTGGGATTTTACTTTATCTTTCCAATCACATTTCGCTTCCATCACACTGTAAGCCTAGCGTTAATAACAAACCCAACGTGACAAGGGACGCAGGACACTGAGAGAGATGACACCACTGGCTACAAGACAGCTGTGGGAAGAGATAGGTCTCGTGAAAGTTTCTGAACAGATTCCTGAGGAGGGGCGGGCAGCAGTGTGCTCTTCAGTAACAGAGGCTACAGGTAGCAAGGGAGACAACAGAAAAGCACTCTGAGTTTACATACAATCATCCGTTTGTAAAGTGAAATCCGATATGACTGATACTTCTTAGGGTCATCTGCATATAATTCCTCAAAATACTGAAAAAACAGGCACAACGGGTATTTGTTTTTCTCTGTGTCTCTGAGGGGAATGTGACCTCTCAGCAAAATCAATTTAAAAATATTTTACAACACAAATAATAATAGTATATGTACTCAAAAGGCTGATTTGTCACCTGCCACTGCCTTCTGATCTTTCCAGGACAGAGGGTTCTAATTTTATATAGATACACACATACACATAAATGTTCACGTGCTCAGAGGTAACAGGCTGTGGCTCAGGCTCCATCATTCAGCAGGTTAAACAGAGCGGTGGCCCATATTCCTCTGGTAATAGAGGTATTTCGCTCCTCAGACCTGCTCACAAGTTGCTGTACTTTTTTTTTTTTCTGCAGTTAGCCACAGTGACAAGGGTGAGAAAGGCAAATAAAATGGAAGTGAAAATCATGGCAATGTTGGCACTCTTGGTGGAAGAAGAAAGCCCATCTTCGTGTTTGTGTGGGGAAGTAGGTGGGTAAGTGGGTTATGCATGGTAGAGTTTCCAAGAACACTAAGCATGGGTCCGTTGGGCTTTACTATTCTGCTCAAGTGTTTCCTAAAGAAATGCACAATTAAGACTGAGAAACTATATAATGGTTTTGAAAAGTGCATTATTCCCTATACTTAAGTTTGAAACCATTCTCCAGATCTAGTAGTCGGTGAGGTACGGGAAGCAGCTAACCTACAGAGGGTCTTCTAAAACTCAGAGAAACTCATTAACTAGACTCTACCCCATAGAATTTGAGAGCTTAATTTACTTTTGTATAGCTATGAAAAACTGCCAAGAAAATTAATACTGCAGACAAGGTTGCAAAAGAAATGATTAATCGACTTAGTGAAACAATTGGGAATTTGCCATCCAGAAGCATCTCAATTTCAGTTTCGCCTTGTATTTTAAAACAATCATTTATAAGTACAGAATTTATACACTGATCAATTGTTATAATTCAGTATATTTATCAATTCTTAGGCATTGAAGCACTGTTAGTTTAATTTAAGCAATAATATACTTGAGAGTAATAAAAAACATTTCAAAAATATTCCATGATTCAAAACATTTCCCTCCACAAATTAGTGATATTTCAGTCACTTTGGAAAGAGTCCAACACTTGCCCTCACGTGCTTCTCCCATTCCCACAAAAGAGCCCCATGTAGCAAGATGCCTTCAGAGGGACAGAGAGTGAAAAAAAAACTTTTGGGTTTTGCATCTAATTAATACAAAAGGTGGTTGAATAGATGACACTAGAAAACTATTTGTAAGTGATCACTAATGGAGTTAATTATAATAATTCAGACTGTTAAATCTTCACAGAAAATCCAAACTATTTTATTAAAGGTCATTAAAACCCTGAATTAAAAAGAAAAAAGACAACTCACTACCAGTTCTAAATAGCTTTTCTCAAAACCAGGCTGACACTACAATATAGATTTTATATAGGTATGTGGAATTATAACTTTTTAATGACCTTTAATTTAATAAATATATTTAACAAACTTAAGTAGATTTACAAATCTGTCATAAAAGTTATTTTGCGACAGAAATATTTCAGAAAATATTTCCTGTAAAAGAAAGAAAGAAAGAAAGAAAGAAAGAAAGAAAGAAAGAAAGAAAGAAAGAAAGAAAAAAAAGAAAGAAAGAAAGAAAGAAAAGAAATAGCTTGAACTCCGTGCCAGCATTCAGAATGTGGCAAGGGGAAAAAAATCTCCTCATTCATTGTGCTTTTGTTAGAACCAAAAATGTATAAACTTAACTCCTAATGTCCCTCCACCCTGACCTGGGACCTCTAGCCAACATCAAGCAAGAGCCCCCGTTTGGTTCTGCCAACCACCTTCCCTGAGCATAACTGCAACCCCTGCCTTTCTGCTAGAGATGGAGGCAGGACCAGCCCTGGTGGCTGCCTAGGGACCAAAGGTCAACAAAGCTTGTCCCGAGTCTCCATTGTGACAACCACAGAACAAACCTCCTTGAAATGGCAGAGAATCTGCAGCGAAAAGTGGAGGCAGCAGGTCACCTGAGTTCTCAAGCTTATCAAAAGCCCAGCACACGGTCAGGGGGACGTGCCAGAGCCTTCTGTCAGAAACACAACCTGGGCACGTGCCTTTTCGTTTCTACCCACATAGTCACATCTTCCTCACTCTGTCTCTGCTAGAGAAGAAGGTCGGTATCAAGGGTCGGGCAGGGAGTTTTTCCCAGCCCAAACAGATGTGTTTGATCCAAAAGAAACTAGGACGGTCCTGCAAGGCCGGGCACTGCCTGCAGAGGGATGTTGTGGACCCGGCAGCTCCCCTTACCAAGTTTTCGTTGGTCAGCCTGGTGATCTCGTGCTGCAGGCTGGCCTCGATGCGGGCCTCCGGGGGCAGCTGCAGGTTCTGGGCTAGGAGCTGCTGCTGCCGGTTGTTCTCCTCCTTCAGGCTCTGGATCTCCCCACGAAGGGCTTCCGCCTCGTTCTCGTGGCTCCTCTTCTGTGACTGCAGCTGGGATTCCAGGAGCCTGAAGAGAAGCCACATGGGTGGGAAAGGGAGATGACCCCGCGTCGCTGCTTGCTGGCAGTGAGGCTTCAGGCTCACTCGCAAGGGCAGGAAAAGTGGGGAATTTCTAGTGTTTGTGTAACTTCGGACTTCGTTAAAAGTCAAGAAGCTCAAGCAAGGGCCAGCAATGGAAAGAAGTGAAGCGCTCTCACAATTGTCTTTCTGAATTGTGGACCATGCTACAAATATACCATTCTCGAAGGCCCTAAGAGATAGGAAAGTTTAGGCTCTTTTGAAAAGTTTATAAGAAATGATGACTAGGGGGCGTCTGGGTGGCTCAGTCGGTTAAGCGACTGCCTTTGGCTCAGGTCATGATCCTGGAGTCCCCGGATCGAGTCCCGCATCGGGCTCCCTGCTCAGCAGGGAGTCTGCTTCTCCCTCTGACCCTCCTCCCTCTCATGCTCCTGCTCTATCATTCTCTCTCACTCTCAATAAATAAATAAAAATCTTTAAAAAAAAGAAATGATGACTAGAATAATCAATTAAAAGACATACCTTTAATCTGGCTTACAACGTTTACAAACTAGCATTTAAGTTGGCAAAGACAGTACCTGTGTCACAGAATAACTCTGCACTGTAGAGGGCAAGATTACAAGCTCCCAATCTAATTAAATATGCCTTTAAGAATTTCAGTGTTACTAATTTCAGGCAGAAGGTATGACCAGGGTCCCATTTCTACTTTCTACTCTTATCTCTGGAGGACAGAAAGGCTGGAGTGGGACTCTGAAATATATACAGATTTACCCAAATCCAGACAGATCATTCTGAAATTTCACATACATGTACTTTAAATTTGTCATTTTCTCTCTCCCCCATAAACTTCCATATCAACAACAGAATCCTAACACAATGCAGTTTTAGAACATAGATGTTAATAGGACAAACAAAGTGGTTACGGCTTCTCTCAGCAAGCACACAAGTCAGCCGTGCCTGTAAGCAAACCAGGGCACCAGCCATGAGAGTACCAGGGAGAAATGGCATCCTCTCTTCACCATGGATCCCCACTTCTATATTCACCCCCTTTCCAAACACAAAGTTATGGTTAAGAATTAACTAACTTGAAGAAAGGAAAGACGTTCTTTCATCCTAATCCCCTTTGGTATCAACTGCTGGGCAAAAGTTACTGATGCCCTTGCAAGCAAACAGTTAACAGCAGACTAAAAATATTTTAGCGATTATAAAATTTCAGGAGTGTGAACCAGTAACGCCACAAAGTTAATGACAATGGCTTGTGATTAGAACAAACAACGCAGAATAAGCAGGAGCCCCTTGAACAAATAGTTAAGTATTTTTAAAATTTAATCACTAACGTGGTATCTTTAAGAGATTTTAAAGATACAAATATTCTGAGAGCAGATGAGCGTCTGTGTTAGAAAGCTGTTGCTCTTCCAATTTTATTTGCTTTCCCCTAAACACATTTAACGTGTTGAGTTGTGTAATTATTTTGAACTGCCGCAGTGCAGGAGACCCTCCTGACTTGTGGTTTCACACATTTGGATTTCACAATAATCACACAGAATGCCAAATCAGGCACTCAACACTGCTGTTAGGCAGCATGGTACTGTATATAAGAATGGAGTCTCACTGCCACAGGTGTTCATATCCTTCAGATTGGTCATTATTCCAAACAAGAAACCACTAAGTAATAGGTATTAATCTCTCCCACTGTAGTTTGAGCTCTAGTTGAAAGGTTTTTTTTTCCAACTCTTAGTGAGATATTCAGAAATTTTAGTGAGTGAAGGGAAGATCCTTCACTCATAGGCAGCAACTCTTATATTGACTATCAGTCCGTTTCAGCTTTAATTGCATCCCTTGGTGGAGAAAGTTTTTAAAGAAGGTGTTTGGCTGAATGTTGTAAGTTTTACTGAAATTCACCCAGGAAGATAATTAATGCATAAGAAACACAGAAGTTAAAGTCAGAAGGCCACTGTTAGTAAGAAAAACAAATTAATAACATTCCATTTTGAGGATACAAATATAACCTGTTGGCTTGTTTTAACCCTTCATAAACCAGCCACAGCTCTCCATCCTCATTCAACTCATGGCAATCCATAGCAGGTGATCTTCCATGCAAAAGGAACAACAATGCAAAACACAAAGGGACACAGGACGGTCATGAGATGATGATGGTCAAGAGCAGCACACGGTATTTCCAATATTTCATTAAGTCAAGACTGTTTTTATTAATTACAGATGGCTTTAAGATATCACAAAAATTACTTTTGTTTAATTTTTTTTAAAAATGGGTAACATGTAACATCACATGTCACTGGGTAGAAAGTAAAACAATAATTAAGGAGCTAGAGCTACTTTTTCTGCAGAATAAGAAATGACTGAAAAGGTGAGAAAGAGGTTCTGTTTTTTAACATTTTATTCAACTAGCAGAGTGATCTTATGCATCACATATTATATGAGACCGATCCCAACCATGACAGTCACACACATATAGAATGAAAACTTCAGCTATTGTCTTCACGTGGCAACCTTCACGATCCATGTCAAAGTTAAGTTTTAAGTCTTACGTGCTCACTTTGGCAGCACATATACTAAAGTTTTAAGTCTTATGAGTAGAAACTTGTTTTTGCTTAATAAAATCCACTTTCTTATTTTTAAAATTGTCTTAAGAAATTCTTATAGGAGTAACATAATTAAGAATATGTCCAAAGTTCTCAGCTTTTATGACACAACTGTTAAAAAGATTTTTTGCGTCGAAAACTAATGTTAAGATCTGGGGAAACTGCTTGTATATATATTTTTTAAGATTATTTATTTATTTGAGAGGGAGAGAGATAGCATGCTAGAGAGAGAGAGCACGAGTGAGGGGGAGGGAGAAGAAGACTCCCCACTGAGCAGGGAGCCCGAAACAGGGCTCGATCCCAGGACCTTGGAATCATGACCTGAGCTGAAGGCAGACGCTTAACCAACTGAGCCACGCAGGCGCCCCTGCTTTAATATTAAAGATGTGACACATTTTATTAAAAGTATGAATAGGAGCACCTGGGTGGCTCAGTCGGTTGAGTGCCTGACTCTTGATTTCAGCTCAGGTCATGATCTCAGCGTCATGAGATCAAGCCCCGTGTCAGGCTCCATGCTCTGCACTGGGCATGGAGCCTGCTTAAGATGCTCTCTCTCCCTCTGCCCTTCCCCCTACCTGACTCGCTCTCACTCTCCCGTGCATGCTCTCTCTTAAAAAAAAAAAGTATGTATAAATAATAAATAATGACAAAGTTGATTACAGGGTTTTTTACCTGGGGTGTAAAAATATTTTTGAGTATCTGCCATCAGACACTGTTCTACAACCTTCCACATGTATTATTTCATTTAGTTCTAGTAACCTACTGTGTGTCATTTGCCACACTGCAGAGGAAGACACTGAGGCTTAGAAATAAGATACTTTAGAGGTTACACACTGGCAAGTAGGAGAGCTCAGGGCTATCTGGCTCCAGAGCCCAGGTTTTTACTCTTCCTATTAGACTTTTGTTAATATGATGTGTACAGAAAGCACATTCCAGAGAATGTTCTATTTACCATCTCCCCCTGGAGAGTTGATCTATTTTTATGGTCTCAATTGTATTATTATACACTGATGACTTCAAAATTTGTATCTCAGCCCACATTCCTCTCCTATTCCAAATCTAGATGTTCAACGGCCTAATGGATTTCTCTCCTTGGATGTCTTCCTAGCTCCTCAAATTCATTATTTATAAATCTACCAGTCATCTCCACTCTGCGCTTCCCCACACTGCAGACCCAGGACCATGAAACGGCATTACCACATCCAACCAAGTAGTCAGACACATGAGAGCCACGCTCTATGATTCTCTATCCCCCACCCACACACCCAAGCCACCGGGCTTACTGCTCTCACCTTATGTATCTTATCTATTTTTCAAAGGGTCCCATTTCTCTCAATCTCAACTGCCACCAACCAAGTCAAGTCACTGTAATCATTCAATTACAGTAACAGCTTCCTAACTGCTCTTTATGCCTTCAACCTTGTTCTACTATAATCTATTCTCTAACACAAAAGCCAGGGCTAGCTTTCTAAAATTCCAGTATCATATCATTCTCCTACTTAAAACATCTCAACAACTTTGACTGTCGCTGGAGTGAAGTCCAAATTGTCTTGGTTGTCTCCCCAACAGTCTACAAACTCTGTGAAAGTAAAAACTGCATTTACCTTCCTTACTGCTATATTCCCAGTGTGTGACATGGAGCTGAGCATGAAAACAGGCATGCGATAGATATCTGGTGACTCATTCAGAGTGGATGGAAGGACCGGGTAATATAGCTCCTTCTACACTAACACACTCTTAGATAGAAGATACACTTATAATTTATGTCATAAATCAAGATTTAGGTTTAATCAAATGCTTTTTAAGCATTCTCCATTCTCACCCATAAAACAAGATAATAAGTACCTTACATGCTGCATGGCAATATTCTTTAGTTTGTAAAGTATTTCTGTACACCAATCCTGATACTACACATCAGGAGACTTAGACTGCACACGAACAACACAACTTCCCAGAACTGTCCTTCTCTGTGACCATGATTGGCCAAGTTTTCTTAAGCATGTAGCCTGTAAGTTCAGAGCCCAAAGGCATGGAGGATCAGTTGGGAAGTGGGGCGATAGGAAGGCTGAAGGAATTCCAGAGATGAGCCTTCACTTGGTGATAATCTCAGCTATAGGGAAAGTCTTCGATAAAGCTTCATCACTTAGTGGCTGTGCAAATCCTGTACCCTCAGGCAGCCTACCTGAAGCTCTTAGGTGTACAGTGACTAAGCTAAGTGCCATCTGCAACTTCACTTGGGTTTACAGTAAATAGGATAAAACTAGGGTTAGGATTTTCTCAGAACACCTTAGGGATTGAGACAAATACTTGATCTAACAGGGTCCCATCCTAGAAGTCATGGTACCCTTGTAGAATGATATGGCCAACAGTGAGGTGATTCCAGATACTTCATTACTTCTTTCCACACTAAATTTCATTCCTGAAAGCTAAAATTGTCCCTACAAACCGGGATTCACAAATAATCAACTATCCTGAACAAAAAATGAAAGTGACTACCCAAGATAGTCCAACAGTGAGCAACTGTTTTCTTCTCAAGGCTGAGACCCTAAAATATAATCCCCCGATATAAAAAACTAATGTTCTTGACACCTCTCATCAATACCTTATATTAAAAATGAGATTTTAACTGGGAATATATTGGAAACCTTGAATTCCCTCTGAAGGTCAGTTGGTATCTGATAAAGCAATACATAAACACTTTGACTTACTGTACAAGAGGCTGCCTTGAAGACTAAAGATATTCAGGATTATGACTGAACTAAAATGAATAAAAAGAGAACGGACTTACCTGTTTGTTTCTTTCAAACCAATGTATGCTTGGGCTATTTCACCTTTATCTTTCATTTTTTGTACATCTTCCAAAAGTATTGTGGAATCTGTCATTGTGTTCTGAAGAGTAAAATGACACATTTCCACATTAACAGTCAATTCAAAAACTCTGGACCACAGACAACATTTTTCTTTCCTCCAGAACAGGGGGTTTATGTATTCTACCACACTTCTGTGCCACCGGAGCATCAGCCCAGCCTTGTGCAACTACAGGGGAGGGTCGGGCATAGGGAGTTAAGAGAAAGAGACATCTTCAGTCCCTCTCTCAAAAACCCTTACTGCTCCACTACAAGGATGGTGAAGAGTCTAGAGTACCACTGTCCTGTAAATAAAATCACTGATGGGCAGTGTGCGTTTTACATAATATATACATATTCCATTCCATATATATTTTACATTATATATATATATATATATATATATATATTCCATTAAGTAGCTTCTTGGTGTCCTTGCCTGATAATTGCTCTAATGCTGTTATAATATATATACTTCAAAGGGTATATATATATTTTTATATATATGTATATACATTTTATATATAAAAATATAGATACATTTCCAAGTATGCATAAAGCATTAGAACAATAACCGGGTAAAAACACCAAGCAACTACTGAATGAACAGAGAACAAAAGCTATTCTTTCTACTACTTCCCATCTAGCTATAATAAAACAAATGCCCCAGTAAAACACTGTAAAGTTTGACATAAAGCTCATTTTTTCCCATTAAAAACTCAGTACAAAAAAGACAGATGATATGCTTTAGCAAAATTAGAAGTTTTTTCTCACACATTTAGATATATATAAACAGGAAGGATTTAGCTCCTTGTAAATATCTACCATCTGCTGCTATTCAGTTCTTTCTCCCCCTGTTACATTATAGCATGGTACATAAGTTTCTGGCAGGTCAGCATTACTAATGATTTTGTATAAAAAGCACTTCTCTGCTAACATTTTTACTTCCTTTTTTATTTTTCCTTTTTGGTCTAATCTGTCTGACAACCAATGTAATTTCCAAATCTTGCTTCTACTCAGCCACTCTCGGTCTCTCCTAAACCAGGGCAAGAACAGACTAAGAACTACTGCTCCATAGCCTCTAGAGAATAATACATTTTAGAACCCAAGGGCCCATTCTATTTGTCTCAGTATTACATGTCTGATCTGTTAGTCAATGTTTGCTCCAAAGCCAGGTCTCACAATGAAGTGGACTTAATAAAATACACTTTAAAAAACATGATCTTAGAGACCAGTTCTGAGATAAGTTCAAGACCAGGTCTTGATAAGAAACATACTTTTAAAAAAAAAATCCCACTTTTCTCCTTGTGAGCTTATAAATGCATCCTCAGAGAAGATCAAATATAAGCTGATAAGAGCTATTAACAAGAGCTTATATTTTACTGAATTTAAAAAATTTTTCCCATAAACACCACATGGAGCATTTCTTTAGCTATGATTTCTATATATTTTAGTATATCTTTCATAGAAAATTTTTTTCTCTTTCCCTGAAAGACAGAAAATTTTTCTATTCTACAAAGGGCCATACTCAGATTTTTTTTTTCATACTCAGATTTTTAACTTTTAAGTAGTAACTCTCAAAGACCCAACCCCTATATTAAATAATGCTGTATGTATTCTCTGATATCTGAAGACCTACATGATGTACTTTTGAACTTGTAGTAAATTAGGTAACTTGATCCTATTAACTAATCTAAAGGGAAGATGAGCTTCTTTATATGCTGCTTTCCTGACAATAAGCAGCCAGTCCTTCCCTCAGATCTGGCCTACCTTAGCTAAGAAGTGGTGGTTGGGCATGGGATCAGACTTGGACCACCAGCGTTAGGAAATTCCTAACTCACTGCTCAAAGTTTGTCTCCCCCAAGCCAGTGACCAGAAGTGTAGAAAGGGTTGCACCATGTAGGAAAATCCTACCCTTCCCAGGAAACGTGTGCTCTACTCCTGAGGCTCCTTCTCGCCGTTGGCCAACAAATCCACAGCTGCTAGACAAGAGCATGGGACAGCCTGTGCTTTTGGGTGTGCTCCAAGTTAAGGGACTCCCATCCTGGGCCCCCACACTTGTGGATGGCCTACCATAACTACTGTAGTGGGTCAGAGAACTGACTCTGAATTAGAAATCATGGAGACCTCCCTGTGATCCAGACTGGAGCCTGCTACATCCATTATTTTTCCACTGACAAAGAGAGGGCTCAAATAGGAAATTAATTTGTAAATATCAAAATAGACTTGGTGGCCAGAAGCATCGACTATATATACTGGGGGAATACTTATAAACTAAAATTTAGAATTAAGTAGAAGTACTTACTAAAATTTTTTTAAAAATTTATAATTACCTTGTCATCCTGAAAATCACAAGTCAGCAAGCACAAAAAACAAATGGAGAAAACAATAAACCCTTAGTTCCACAAATAAATCCCATCAATGAGCCCCATTATAACAGAGAAAAGCTAACTGTAAAAAAGCAAAAATTAGTATTCACAGAACCAGCATAAGGTGAACATTAATATATATACTTATGTGATAATTCTTAATTTTCAGGAACAAGTGCTTGAAATTCTTTTCGAGTTGTTTTGGTTTTTCTAATTTGTGAGTATGTGAGAAAATGACCCTCCTGTTAATGTATATGTGTGCAATTCTTATCCTAGGTCTGTGAGAGTTACAGTAAAGCTCTGATAGGATGTCATTTGTCCAAGTGATGCCTTCCAGAATACTCACAGAGGCAGAGCAGATGAACTAGATTGGCTGGGCTGGATTATCACTTACCTCCCTAGGTGTCACGCACTATTGCCCTGCAAAGAAGTTGTGAAATGATGAGTCTCTTGGCCTGGAAACTGAGTGGGACAGACAGCCATGTGTTTGAAAGGTCTCAATCAGTGTCATGGGCATTTTTCTTAGCAAAGAGCAAGCTGCTGCCATGTGTAGTCTGAAAGTTGGAGAGCAGGGGCGTTGGTGGGACAGGACCAGCCCATTTTACTGGCTAGAGAGCAGCTGTGAGCTGGGTGATACCATGCTGAGAGCATGTGATACCAGAACTATGTGCTCTTTTAGCTGGATTGTTTTTATGCCCCTTGGTTCATTTTTCTTTTCCTTTCCCTTAACTCAAGTTTCCTGTGAGAATACCACTTTGTCACAAGGGAACCAGAGAAAAGAATCATAATTTTGGACTCTGCTCCAGCCAGTATGCAGAGAGAGTCTTCTATCTCAAGGCCCAACCACAGCAGTAGTCATGGGAACCAAACAGAGACAGCCTTGGGGAAGGAGAGACGTACAGGGCCAGGCCAAAGGAGATTCCCGTTCCAGAATCTTCTCTCATTTCAGACTGAATGGGTTTGTGATTTGTTTTAAAATAAGAAAGCCCATTTCTTTATATAACTCTACTTATTCCTGGGATTTTTTTTCCCCTCCCAAGATTAGTCGCCAATATCTTATTTTCACAGAATTTGATATTTTCTGGATCAGTGTTGATCTCAGATATGAGTTGCCATTCTCAAATCCAAATGTTACATGCCAGTTTCAGTACTTTAACCACATGCAGAACTACCATATCTAAGAGAACTAGTCTCAGATCTTCCAGTTCATTAGATATCATAGTCATTTTTTATATGGTATGTCATGCAGCTGGAACACTTGATTGTCTAATTCTTGATAACACTTTGCCGCATGATCGTGGGCAGGGACACAGGCCAGGTTTTAAGATGATAACCCAGAGTCCCTCTGATGGCAAATAACAAAAAAGCCCATTTTTTACCAACACATGACAGCATCGGGTCTCAAATAACCTGAGGGCAGGAAGGACTTTGGAGGGCCATCTCTACCCTCTGGCATGGGTCCTTTCTATTGAATCACCACACACAGCCCCTCCCCAGTTGGGGCTCCCCCATTAGACAGAACTCCCTGAAGTGAACAGAAATCATCTCCATGGAACGTCTACTTGCTGATCTCATTTCTAACCCTTTTAAGTGTTATCTTTCCAGTTAAATGGGCTATTACCAACAAATAATTTTAAAGTCATATTTAATGCTTTCCCACAGCAAGAAAATTTATGGATTTTTATACTCAACAGAATTTTACTTTTTTTTTTAAGTTTATTTATCTGATTTATTCATTTAAGTAATCTACACACCCAACGTGGGGCTTGAACTCACGAACCCAAGATCAAGAATCACATGCTCTTCTGACTGAGCCAGCCAGGAGCCCTGAATTTTACTTTTGATGAAAACTTATCATGACCAGATTACTACTTAAAGATTAATTTTAAAAGCTCTTTGCTCATGAGTGAGAAATGACACTTAGAAGATCATTTGGGATTTCATTTATTTTTTGCTCACTTTAATTGGCATTTGAGAGTTTTAAAGCAACGTTGAGATTTTTTTTAAAAATGGTAATATCCTTTGGATAATATCCTTTTAAAAAATGATAATATCCTTTGGACTATCCATTTTAGTCTAAATGCTAATTAGACTAAAAATGCTCGTGTTTGCTTCATTATAAATTGCAAGGAAAGGATAGAAAGAAAGAGTCCAGTCCCCAGACACCCACTTTAGTCACTTGCTCGTGCTTACCTTGGGTTGGATGGCCTCCTTCTGGCTCACCAGCTGAGACCTCAAGATGAGGACTTCCTCCTTACGGACATCAAGCTCCTCACTCACAGAGGTCAGCTGCTCCATGAGGACACGATAGGCTGGTGCACCTGGAGCCGTCACTTCTGGGGCACTTTTCTCACTAAGGGCCTTGCGTAGCTCATTTAGCTCATTTTTCAGTTTTTTATTTTCTGATTCCAGCTCTTGACGCTGTATGAAGAGACAAAGAATAGTTCACTGCTGTTATCCTCAATTTTACACTGGAATACTCATGTTCCCCCAAGATGGTAGAGTTCTTCTGGAAAAGGTCATGAGAGCTACCCTAGTGAATGGCTTTCCAGGCTGTACTAGGAACTCTGTTCCACAAATTAAGAAAGTTGACATCAAGCGGAGTTGAGCAAGGTGAATGGTAGTTTGCTTCATCAACCCAAATTCCAGAGTCACATTTATTCCGGGCCTGCCTGGGTGTGTTCACAGGCCTGGAGAGATTGCTGAGTCCCAAGGGGCGAGTTTAGCCTAATTCTCAGAAGCCCAGGTTTTGTTTGCAGGTAAATATAGGGGCAAGTATGAGGGTTCAGCTGGTCAGGTGATTTCCAATGAACGGTTCAGATGAGCAGAACCCTGAAATCTCGAGTAGCATCCTCTTATTTCCTTTGTAAAACAGAATGGAAAGAACATTGAAATCTTAGGCTTTTAACTTTGAATTAAAAAATTACCATATCATTTAAACTAATAAAATTCCATTTAGTGTTTTGGTGACAACAAACAGTGTATTTTCCAAATTACTCTTGACATGTGTATGACAGGCTTGTGAAGTTGCTGGCAGAAGTCTTCAGAGGTGGGAGGAAAGGATGGGCTCCTTGTGCAATCCAGATGGCCAGATTCATCCTTTACCTCTTCCATACTTTCATATACTACCAGCCAACCTCCTGTCACCAGTTAGCACTGCCCTCTGCATACTCTGCTCAAACAGTGGCAATGGGAGAGTTCTGACACGAAAATACAAATGTCTCGGGAAACTGGCTGGGAAACAGTAAAGCACCATGCTGCCTTGTTTTTAGCACATTACACAGGCCTTATGAGAGTGGAAGTGAGACATTTCTATGTATAAAAGATAAAATATTTTATTGTTTCTTCCAGAGCAGTCACCTTGGGTTTAGAACACCATATCAGACCTCTTAACCGTTTATAACAGAACTATTTATAGTCTTTTTTTTTTCTAGTGTAAGAATATATAATCCTTTCTCCCACCAACTAGTAACTGGTTTCGTATTGCTCATTTCTGCAACAGAAAACATGAATGTCTTTACTTGGACACTAAGCTCCGATGCAGTGTTTCCCAAACTTTTAAGTGCATCAGAATCACCTGGAGGGCAGATTGCGTGGCCCAACCCCCAAGAGTTTCTGATTCAGAAGGCCTGGTATGAGGCCTACAAATGTGCATTTCCAATAAGTTACCAGGTGATGTTGATGCTGCTGGCCCAGGGACCACATTTTGAGAAATACTAAGCTAGTACTCAGCAACTTTGTAATTTGGGCTTCTTTTTTCTTCCTTTTTATCTGGGCTTCATTTTTAACATACTACAAAGAATGTCTTTATTTGTCCATTTTTGTGTGAGGCAGGCAGATGGAAAAGAGCTGGAGTTGACAGTCCTGCTCCCATTCTGTTGGCCTGTGCCATCCCATCCCATCTGATGCTTGTCTTGTATGACCCATAGCATGAGTTGGTCCTCTAGACAAAGGGTACTAAAGGAAACAGGGAGTCAGGATAATAAGAGATGACTCTTTGCTGACACTCTTTTCTTTCACTGCAAACATAAATACTACCCAAGTAGTACTTTCATTGAAGGAGCAATAGATTTATTCATGTTATAATTCAGAAAGGGTAAAAGGGCTCTTTAGAGTATTTTCAAATAGTACTTTTTTTTTTTGGTAAAAATAAATTTTCAAACATATGGTGATAGGAACCTAGGGTGTTTAGAAAGTTTCCTTCTGTCTGGAGACCTAGATTCGAGATCAGACTCTACCACCTGATAGTAAATCCCTTAACTGTTCTAAACCTCAGTTTAATAATCTTTAAAAAGGAAATAACTTATCTCAGAAGTTGTGACAATGACTAAATAAGATAAGGTGTAGTTAAAACTTTTCAAACTTTATATAAAGTAAATACGAGGTATTATTAGTCAAGTGTTTATCAAATGTCAGTGGAAGAGTTCTAACTATCTTCAAGGGAAGGGGTTGATAAAGGAACTGTGGGTTGGGCAGGGTGGAGAACAGACATTCTCTATACCAATGCCACACAGCCTCAAAAGGAAGCAATAGGGGCGCCTGGGTGGCTCAGTTGGTTAAGCGACTGCCTTCAGCTCAGGTCATGATGCTAGGGTCGTGGGATCGAGCCCCACATTGGGCTCCCTGCTCTGCGGGGGAGCCTGCTTCTCCTTCTCCCTCTGCCACTCCCCCTGCTTGTACACTCTCTCTCCGTCAAATAAATAAAATCCTTATAAATAAATAAATAAATAAATAAATAAATAAATAAATAAATAAAAGGAAGCAGTTATCAGCAGTTCTGGACCATGGGAAATGGCAAATCCACAGAGGACAGGGTCCTATTAATGTAAATTATGTTCCATATCACGCTATTAGGAAATTTATCAGAACTAGACTTGAAGTATTAGTACTGAAAAAAAAATAATACAGAAATCCTCATGACAGTTTAGGGAGACCCTAGGAATTCTCAAATACACATAAAGGCTTTATAAAATAATGAGTTCCCTTATGCTATGTTGTGGCTTTTCTAACTCAGCTTTGGTTATAATCATAAACCTCACTATAGTTTTCTAGCTATTCTAGACTACAGTTTGCAAAAGGAGAAAACAGTAAAAAATAAACATAAGCAGAAAATGTCTGAGAAAGATAAATTTAAGACTAATAATTTAATTAATAACCCAGAAAACTTTTAAAGCTGCGGGTGTCTTGATAGCTGACAGCCTGATAGCTCAAACTTCACAGGGCTCAAATGGTTCTGATTCCGGAAAGCAAAGAAAGGAGCCTAGTGAAGAACAACCTACCCTGATTTTATTTTTATTTATATTTTTATTTTTTAAGGTAAACTCTATGCCCACTGTGGGGCTTGAACTTAAGACCCTAAGATCAAGAGTCACATGCTTTACCAACTGAGCCAGCCAGGCGCCCACAACCTACTCTGTATCAAGGAATGGGCTCTTGTTTGTTTTATACCTCAGCTCTTGGGTTACCCAAGACGCTTTGTATTTCAGGAACTCCTGTTCCTTCCTAATCAGAGCCCTTCCCATGTTCAACTGCTCTGGGACCACAGTACCTGCTAGATAGACATTGCCTTCAACCATTAAGGAGACAATTCTCCACCTTCATCTTCCCCCTCCCAACAGTTTCTAAAAAATAAGTTAGAACACATTTCTATTCTAATACCTAGCAAACTAATACCTAGCTATCCTTCTCTATAAGTCCACAGTTTCAGTGGGGTTTGGTAGGTAGAGCACAGACTTCAGAGCCAAAGATACGTATATTCAAATCCTATTCCTGTCATTTTCTAATGGGGTGATCTTAGGAAGTTACTTATATCTCTTAACCTCAATTTCCTTATCTGTAAAATAAGCAGAACCCTGTAAAATGGGAACTAAAATACTTACTTGCAGGATTATTGTAATAATTACAGCTAATATGTAAAGTACAGGCATTTAAAAATGATGAGGATAATGACAGCAGCCAACTATAGGTAGGTACTTACTATGCGCTTGGCACTACCCAACTTTGCTGGGTACTTACTACGTGCTGGGCACTATTCTAAGCAGTTTACATGGATCACTTTATATAATCCTCATGACAGTCCGATAAGATAAATAGTATCATCATCCCCATTTTATAGATGAGAAAACTGGGGCAAAGAAAAGATACATAACTTGCACACAGCCATATGGTGGCAGATCTAGCATTTGAACCCAGGCAGTCTGGTGCTAGAATCAATGTCCTTTACTACTTTCTATCGCCTCAAATGGCAGCTATTACTCCTGTTTCTGCTTAGACTGAACTCTAGCTTATATGAAATAGAATCTATAAAAAGAAACAACATGAAGCTAGAAGTAATGCCTGAATAAGGGTGAAGCTAGAACCTTGGGTGCTCTTAAGGATGTTCTCTGAGAAAAAGAGAAACTCAGAGCAGGTTGCTTGCCAAAACAAGATATTCAAAGCCTTGGGCAGAAACTTCCCATTACCTTGAGTGACTCATATTCCAGTTCTGCACCTCTAATTTGTGGTTTTTCTTCTTCCTAGGGAAAATGTAAAGTTAAAAACTTTATAAATAAATAGTTATACTTTAATTTTCACATTTTTACTCAGAATATTTCCTTGCTCTGCAGAAAATAGCAGGGAGAGTTTAGCCCTCACTACGTGAACCAAATGCTGCTCGGATAAAGTACTTCTGGGCTGAGTTTCCATTAAAGAAGAGACTGCAGAATTGCACATAAGTCCCGGGCTCAGTGCTCAGTTTGTGCATGGCCCTGGGGTGCGGTAGCACTGCGTACCTTTGCCTTGCTGCGGAGCATCTGCTCCTCCTTACGGTCCAGCTCATCCTGCATCACCTGCTTCTCCTGCTCCAGCTCTGTGACCCGCTTCTGGAGCTTGAGGAACAATGACATGTCCAGAGGCACCTTCTTCTCACTTGGCTCCTAAACCCCAGAAATCATAAGACGGTCAAGATGATCCAGAAGATGTAAAGCCAATGCAGAAATAATGAGCAGTCCAATAGAGAAACAGGCAAGCTTACAGAAGAAATATAAATGGACAAAGAATGGCATGCCCACCCCAGCTAATGAGTAGAGATGTGCAAATTAAACAACAGTGAGGCACTACTTTTTCCGTTAGACTGGCAAAGACTGGAAAGATCAATAATGCCATGTATTAGTAACAGCATCTTATATAATACTGGTGGAAGTATAAGTAGGCCTTTTAAAAGGGCAAGTTAGCTGTATTTATTAAAATTTAAATGTGTATACCCTTTAACCTAACAATATACATTTAAGAATTATCCTACAAAACTTCTTACGCAAGTACACAAGAATATATGGAAAAAGATGTTCATAGCAGCATTTTTTGTAACTGGAAAAAACTGGAAAAAAATCCAAATGTTAGTCAATAGAAGAGTTGCTTATAGTATAATCAAACTAAAATATTTCATAGCTGTTAAAAAAATGAAATAGATATACATGAGTGGATAAGTATGTCCTAGATAAAAGTATTAAGTGAAATACACAAGTTGCAAGGAAGTATTTATGTTACGATCTTATTTTTGTTAAAAAATTAAATGCACATGACTTTTATTTTTAATTTTTTTAAAAAGATTTATTTATTTATTTATTTATTTATTTATTTATTTATTTATTTATCTATTTATCTATTTTGTTTTTTTAAAGATTTATTTATTTTACAGAAAGAACACAAGTAGGAGGGGCAGAGAGAGAGAATCTCAAGCCAGATGCAAGGCTCAATCTCACGACCCTGAAATCATGACCTGAGCTAAAACCAAGAGTCCGAGTGTTACAGGATTTTTTCTCCATCAGCACCCACGGTTCTTGGTCATGGCACTTCGAAAAATGAAGAGGTAGACCAGAGTGGTGGGTAGCAAAGTAAGGTTTATTGAGCGATAGCAAAGTGATGTACATAGCTCCCAAGGAGGAAGGGGCCCCAAAAGGGTTGCCCTAAAAGATTTTATTTATTTGACAGAGAGTAGACAAGCAAGGGGAGCGGCAGGCAGAGGGAGAGGGAGAAGCAGGCTCCCCGCTGAGCAGGGAGCCCGACATGGGGCTCAGTCCCAGGATCCTGGGATCATGACCTGAGCTGCAGGCAGATGCTTAACCGACTGAGCCACCCAGGCACCTGGTCAAAGTATAATTCTTACCTGCTTAGTGTGTCTTATATAGACTTTTTTTCAGATATCAAAACAAGTTTTTTTTTGTTTTTTTTTTTTAAGAGAGAGGGAAGAGGAGGGGCAGAGGGAGAGAGGGAATCTCAAGCAGGCTCCATACCCGGCATGGAGCCCGATGTGGGGCTTGATCTCACAACCCTCATGTCATGACCTGAGCTGACAACAAGAGTTGGACACTTAAACCGACTGAGCCACCCAGATGCCCCCAAAATAAACTTTTATAGAAAGTTTAGGAACTAAATACAAAGAAGAAAAATAAAGCCATAATCACATCTTCAGAGAAAACCTAGAATTTTTGTCCAGTCTCTTTTCTATAGATTTAAGTAATTGGAATATTTTCATTATAATTTTGTATTGTCTTTTAAATTTAGCATTTTATTACAAATGTTTTCCAAATTCATGATATGATATTTGAAACCATAATTCTTAATAGTTATACTGACATGTGTACCATCATTTGCTTAGCTATTACCTTACTGATGGGCATTGAAGTTGTTTCTAATTTTTTGCTATTGAAATATACTAAAATAGGGGCGCCTGGGTGGCTCAGTCATTAAGTGTCTGCCTTTGGCTCAGGTCATGGTCCCAGTGTCCTAGGATTAAGCACCGCATCAGGCTCCCTGCTCAACAGGAAGCCTGCTTCTCCCTCTCTCACGCCCCCTGCTTGTGTTCCCTCTCTCACTGTGTCTCTCTCTGTCAAATAAATATATAAAATCTTTAAAAAATATATATATTAAAATAAACATCCTAGTACATATATATCTAAATATTAATGTTTTTAAGTCTGCTAAATTAGTTTATACTTTCACCAAGCAACCACCACCATGCCTGCAACAACGACTGTTATCATTTTTTTAAATGGCTCACTGATAGACCAAAAGTGTATTTAATTGTAGTTTTAATTTACATATCTTTGCCTGTTGTTGAGGTTGAATTCTTTTTATATTTATTATCTATCTTTAGTCTTTTATGAATTCTTAGTAGTGTTGAATTCAATATTACTCCAGTTCTAAGAAAAATCTAAGAAGAATCAATTTAAACTAAGAAGTGGGGCATTTATCTGTAGGCTATCAGGGTCATCTACCCACAAACTAGTTAGACCTGGACTTTTTCTTACTGTCCAGTCTTGTAATGTTCACCAGTAAGAAAAAGTTTAGGTATATGATCTTTGCCATAAAGTCTGTCCTGACTGAGAACAGACATGACATCCTGCCTGAATGTGAAATTACTATAGATTTTCATTCATATAAAAAATCATTTCTACACATCCCACAAATACTTGTATTTTAGCTTATTTACAATGTAAACATTCCATTCATGTGTTTTTAATGTTTGTCCATCTATTAATGATGTATGTGTCCCTGAAAATTTTCATTACTTAATCTTTTTTTACACTGTAATAGAAGACTTCACTTCCCAACTTTTTATTGTACTTAAAATGTCATCATTTGGGAATCATCCCTCTTAATCTTGAACGGCATTTTTGTTTAAAAGGAATCTTCTCATTAAAATGGGATGGGGTGGGGTGCCTGGATGGCTCAGTCATTTAAACCGTCAAAGTCTTGATTTCGGCTTAGATCATGACCTCAGGGTCATGAGATCCAGCCAGAGTGTCACGCTCCATGCTGGGTGTGGAGCCTGCTTATGATTCTCTCTCTCTCTCCCTCTGCCCCCCACCCTGCCCAGGCTGGTGCCTGCTCATTCTCTCTCTAGAAAAAAAATTTTTTTTTAATTTAAAAGTGGGATGGGCTAACTCTTTAGATATTAGCAAATACTGCATAAAGAATGAGTTGATTGCTAGATAAAAGCAAAATTCTATAAATAGGAATATTAAAATAGGAGATGGAAGAATACAAAAAAATAACATCTGACAACCACAAAACTGCCTGAGGCATAAGGACTGGTAATTATTTAAGAGTGCTCCGATGGTGTCCATTCTCATTCCTAATGACATATCTAGTCACAGAGATACCATTTGTCTTCTCCATGCCAAACAAGCAAGAAGGGAGATTGGCGGATGCCTGGGTGGCTCAGTTGGTTAAGTGGCTGCCTTCAGCTCAGGTCATGATCCCAGGGTCCTGGGATCAAGTCCTACATTGGGCTCCTTGCTCAGCAGGGAGCCTGCTTCTCCCTCTGCCTGCCTCTCCCCCTGCTGTGCTCTCTCTCTGCCTCTTTCTGAAAAATAAATAAATAAAAAATCATTAAAAAAAAAAAAAAGAAGAAGAAGAAGGAAGATTGGGTCATCTGGCTCAGAGAAGTTTCTGGGATTTTGCTTTGCTTTCCTTCCTTAGAAAGGACTTTATCATTCAGGGCTTTTCTAAGAGAGTGAAGCTTTGAAACTGACCTAAAAAATCATAGTCTCTCATCTGAGGAGAATCCAGAAGACAAGAGAATTTACTCAAAAATTACCAGCATACGTCTGCAATCATTCTGGAATTACTGCTAACAACAGCTGAGAAGGTTATAGTGACCCTTTCCCTGGGTTTGACAGGTGTGAGGAAGCTCCAGGGCAGAAGCAGAGCTGGGATAATGAGTCGATGGCTACTAAGAAAGGTGCATGACAGAGTAGGGAGAAGCAAAGGTTCCCAAAGAAGGCAGCCCCAGACCATGGAGATGCTGTGGGTATGGGAGGGCTGCACGGCAGGTGAGTTCTCCAGAGGGAAACAGCCATGCAGGTGCCAGCCTGACTTGTGACCCACAAATTACAGGTTTGGCAAAGCTGGAAAGATGTCAATTCTTTTTTACATCCAATTTTGCTATCATTACATGACTGAGGTTGGAAACAGTCTGAAAAACTCCTATTTTAAATTAAAAAAAAAAAAAATCAACTCATAACCAAGAAGGAGCCCATTATTTTCCTGGCACCAGATTCTGAAAGAGCTACCTGGGAATACTGCACATAGTAGTAAGTGCTCCTTTACTTTGTTAGGGGCAATTTGTAAACCTGGCCATTACAGAAGTAGTTGCAAGGAGAAACACAAACCTGGAAGTCAAAAGTAATCAGAAGTGCAAATTCACAGCCCATAGTCTTAGTCTGATACTTCTCTCCCACCCAACTTCCCTTCTGATAATCAATTTTTCTATTACCAGTTTTACAGATTTCTATCTTTCTGATCCTGACCACACCCAATCAAAATTGTAGGACAGTCACTGGAAATCTGTTTATTAGAACAAAAACATGGATTTATTGAACAGTTACTATGTATCAAACACTGCTGCAAATGCTTTATAGGAATTATCTCAATCTTCAAAACATCACTCTAAAGTAAGATAATAATCATAGCATATCACTTCACAGATGAGGAAACTGAAGCAGAGAGAGACTGAGGCTCAGGTTATGGACTCAGTTCCAAGGAGGAGTTATTGTAGTCTGTCCAATGGTCAAGACAGCCCTTCTAACCAGAGCCAGGCACATTTCAGATGCATGCACTTAGTCACAAGGAACAAGATGACCAGTTCAGTGAAAAGCCTTTCCCATTATTGAGAGATTTCCAGGTGCATGACCTACTGCTGATGGTCAGTGCATGTGAAGGACAATACACAATATTCCAGATCTGTCTGTGACTTCTGGAGCACAGTTCATACTTCATTATTCAAAAGAGATGAGCAATATACAAAATCCCACTCTAAACTAACTCTTTTTTTTTTTTTTTTTAAGTAAGTTCCACACCCAGCATGGAGCCCAACTCGGGGCTTGAACTCACTACCCTGAGATCAAGATCTGAGCAGAGATCAAGAGTCAGATGCTTGACCAACTAAGCCACCCAGATGCCCCTAAACTAACTCAAGTTGAGAAAAGTTTCAGCAGAAATATGGGTGAGAATTAGAAACAAAAAGGTTAACTCTCCCTTCAAATCTGTAAGAATTTGGACAAAACTTGAGAAGAGTAGAGACAAATACCGTTACTAGTAAAAATTAGGTAAAGCACAGAAGAGTTTTTGAAGTTAAAAATGTAACATCCTCAGTCAAAACTATCAATAAGAAGCCTCTTTGTCCGAGTTTAATACAAAATAATTTGCAACAAACACACCCTTTCTGTCATGGCTTTCCCCTTCCTTGCAGGAGCTGCTCAAGTTTTATTACACTGAAGCCAACAGTGTATAAACATACTTACTTCCCTCAGACTGCTGCAAGTGAGTACTCCCATGAAGACCAACTGCATGCAATCCTAAAACTTTCATATCCACTAGAGGCTCAGAGGCTGTAATTTTGAAATCTTCAAAGTCTAACTTTGTGGTAGTCTCCAAAGATGGTTACCAGTGATTGTTCCCAACACAAATGTCTTTTCTCCCATCAAGAGATGAAGTCCACTCCCCTTCCCCTGAGTCTGGGCTGGCCTTGTAATTTGCTATGACATAGAATGTGGCAGAACTGACAAGGTGCTGGTTCTGGGCATGGCCCCACAAGCACTGGCATCTTTTGCTCTTACACTCTCAGAACCCATTCACCATCCTGCTGAACAGAGAAGTCGCTCGGAGAGGCCCTAGGTCCTCTTCCTTGGGCTGGGATGCAGGGAAGTGCTCCAACCAACCCCATGTGCAGCAGAAAAACTGCCCTGTCAAAATTCAAAGAGTAGTGAACATGAGTAAACTGCTGTGGTTTGAAACCACTGAAATTTGGGATGGTTTGTCACACAGCAGCCAAAAACCTGGAACAACCTCTATCCTGCTATACAGTGGCCATACTGCTCCATCAGTGGTCTGCAGGCTAACATTAGCTACAGAGAGAAACAGACTGGAGAACTGCAGTATAAAATGCCCGGATGGGAGGAACCAGAGTATGGGGCTCCAAGCAGACCAGCATCAGTTAGAATACTGGTTCAGCCACTTGCACGCTGTGACCTTGGATAAGTTAACTTAGGGTTCTTGTATGTATGATTCCAACTACATGACATTTTTCCTTAAAATAAACAGAATGAGATGGCAGAAACTTTTCATTCCTGAGGAAAACTAAGACAAGAAAGGAAAGAATCATTCAATTTTCTTTGGCTGTTCTACCAGAAGCAGTCTATTTCTGACTTGGCCATTTTCTCAGAATACGATATAAAAATAGAAGAGTTGTGCCTGAATTACGCATTAGCGAAACTGGTATCATATTTGAAAAGAAGATCTGAGAATTGGTTTGGGAACAATCTAACTTAAAGTCACTGTACTCTTGGAGTTATGGTAATGTGCCATTTTGGTTTCATACCACATAATACAAACACTAAGGCAGATTTATAAGCTACTTTTTTTGCATTTTTGTGGACAAAAATCACATTGGTAAAAACTGTCATCAGAGGCAGCAGTTTTGCTAACTCTTGGGCACTGGTTATTTATACTATTCAAGGACAAAAGGCTTACTATTAAAAACAATTTACCTCAGTCTGAAATAAATTCATGACAAGCTATGTTTTTTTGTAATAGGGTATGTTAAGATGAAAAAGGGAATTACAAAAAGGAAAATCTGGTCATCAAAATTACATTAAAAATTAAAATGTCTATTAAAAAATATCTATAAGTATGCATGTAGATATAAGAAAATACATGTAATAATTAATAAGCTAATTAAGCACCCATTGGTCATTTATGAAATATGAAGAGTTTGAAACAACTGCTACATTTATGGGCAAATGACGTCTGCTCCGCAATGGAAATGTTCTCTGTTAATAATAGCATGGTCACATCCTACTTGTAGTGATAGGTATCTAAAATGTACCTCTGTCCTCAATGGCATATCTTCAGTTTCTGCAATTTCAGAGCTAAAGGTGTATTCAGACTCATTGCTGCTGTGGGTGGAGTCTGTTCTCTTGTGTCCAGGCTTAGGCACATTCTACAAGGCAGATAAACCAAATATAATTAACACAATATAATTAAACCAGTTATAGTTAAGACAGCATCCACCATAACTTGGTTCTAACCCCCACTCACTAACTTGCTGTTTTCATGTCCAAATAGTCTGTTCCATGTTGTCCTTAACAAACCTTTATGAAAGGGTCACTTTCTGAGCTCCTCAAAGAAAAAGATGCACCAGAGGGCATGACAAGAAAAGTCACAAAACCAAATGCTCAAACAAAAATCATCTGTGATTATTAGAAGAATCCCCTTTGGGTTTTTTCTTTTCTTTAAGATTTTATTTATTTATTTATTTGAGAGAGAGAAAGACAGAGGCAGAGGCAGAGGCAGAGAGCATGAGCAGGGGGAGGGGCAGAAGGAGAGAGAGAAGCAGACTCCCGGCCGAGCAGGGAGCCTGATGCGGGGCTCAATCCCAGGACCTTGAGATCAAGACATGAGCCCAAGTCAGATACTTAACCAACTGAGTCACCTGGGCACCCCCTGACCCCAACTTTGGGTTTTTGAAGTTGTGAGTGGCCAGTCACAATGGGTAAAGTGTAAGTATAATGCCTCAGCAACCAAACATTGACTTCAGCGTTGCAATGAAATAAAACTTAGTAAAAAGTTCATGAGATATGTTTAATGATAGCAAAATCATTTTACTGCACTGTATTTGAGCATAAATGGAAAAAAAGAGAGGGGTTCTACATCGGTGACTATAATTTCTGTCACTCTTGTGCATGAAGTTGAATCCCTGGAGTCAGCAGTGGGAAGGATGAGCTATCTGACGTCCTGGGGTTATTAATTCAGGGAATCCAGGTGACATTTCTATGACATGTGGTATTATGAAACTAACGTTCAGAAAGCTTATGGAAAACAGAGAAGTTAAACAACTGCAGTCTGTTCCTCTCTGCAGGAGAGTGACTTGAAGAAGGAAGGAATAAAAAGGCTGGATTTTGTGCCCCTCACTCCTAGGGTAGCCCCCTGCAGAAGAGGTGGAAAGGGTCAGTGGCCTGCATCTCACAGGGTTACTGGCTCTCAGAGCTTCAGAAAGACCTCTGGAAGCTTTTCTGGTCTGTTCAATTTCCTTTACTCCTCCTCCCAGCTGTAAGAAGAGCCAGAAGTCACAAAGAGCTTCTCTGCCTCTTTCCCTCCCATATCCAGCTTACAGACAGCAGACCCATCCATATGACCAAAGGAAAGCCAGCATCCAGGGGCAGATGAAAGTCTCCCAGGCTACCCCAACCTGTACTTCAGTGCATAAGGAAGACCCAAGAACACCAGAACTTCTGAAACTATCTAGCAGCTAGGGAACACACTAAAGGAGAGAATCACCCCACATAAAGCAAAGGCACTCAGATTTACTGTTTACGTACACAGGTAACCTCACGTGAAGTTCCTGGCCCCAACCAACAGTTATATGGGAAGGTGTTTATTAATAAATTGGTCCTATCATTAAGAGAAACAGGTAGGTCCACAGAAATACCTGGACAAAGGTTTTTTAATAAGCTTATTAAAGATGAGTGAGACCTCTATTTTCCCTCATGTATGTTACTAAACAATAAATACCTTAAGGTATGAATAGAAGCAACACTGTATATTTGCTATTTAATGTAACTTTTGGATACAAGGTAGTGGTTAAACGCTCTGGGTCTGAATTAAGAGAGAGCCGGGTAGGAATTCCAGGTCTGCCACTTACTTGCCCCTTGCCCAACTTCTCCAGGCCTCACTTGGATCATCGGGAAAAGGTGAATAATAATATTATCTACCTAATAGGGATTATGTGAAGATTAAGTAAAATAGTGCAAGTAAAGAGTTAGCATAGTGCTTGGCATATAATAAGAATTCAATTAATGTGAGCGGATGCTGCCATCATTGTCAGGACCCTGCAGTAATGTAACAACTCTCCTGTGCATGGCCTTCTGTTCCCCAAGGTTTTAGCTCATATGCTATTCAAACACAAGGACGAACACCCTACCGATCAAAAGCCCCTTCAAGATCTGTACCCCGTACCTCCTCTCCCCATCTGGCATGTCTCCAATAATCCCTTCTGTGCTTGAATCTGTTTTATTCCCTTTGTCCAGGTTAATGACCCCATTGTTGACATGCTGGACTCCCTCCTTACTTGGGATGAATCTTTAAACACTTCACAAGCCTGAATTGCCTCATTACCCTTTCACTGTCTGCTTGAATTTCCTTGGCCCTGGATTTAGTGTTTTCTTCCTTGCCTCTGCTCTACAACTGAATGTTCCTGAAGGAAAATCCTACAACCCTTCTTGGTACCAGGGCCAACAAATCTAGACCCTGGTAATCAGCAGCATGAACTTTGGCCCATGAATTACACAGATTACCAGAAGTCCTGAGGCAGTCTATCAATTCCCCTCCCTAAAGTTCCCTGCCATCCATCTGAGGAGTCTATTTACCACAAGATGCTTCCTAAGCACTGTGGCAGTGAGGGCTCCACCTGCAGAACAGTGTCAATGAAATATTAGCCAAGTACCCATCTGCAGGTGTGAAGTTTGTACCTAAACACTAAAATAAGACATTGTTATTATTTAATTAATCCCATATTATTAAGTCCATTTTTTTTATTCACTGCAATTTTTGGAAAGCATCTTCTGCAAAGACTGCAATCTTGACTGCATCTGGAGCTATGAAAGGAGACCTAAGAAGAGCTGAGAAGGAAGCAAGCAGACTCTGATCTTCCTTCCTCTGCTGTTTTCCTTTTCCCTCTGACCATTTTGTTCACTAAGAGGAATGACATGAGTCACAGGCATACAGGGGAGAGGATTATAGGCTGAGAAATCAGAAATCAAGCAGCTGAACTGCCCCAGAAACTTGATTACATTTTTTTCCACCACACTGCTGGGAACAGAATGGCTAGCAGGCAGAGACTTGCCCAGTGGGAAGGAACAGCCCTGCTAAGTTGCTGGAGGACAGCCACTACTGCTGGAGGGTCTTTTCTGGACATGGCTACCTCTCTAAAGAGGAGACCCATTAACCTCACAGATATTTCTGGGAATGTGCTCAGAAAGTGATGTATACATGGCATGTGCTTCTCTCATTCTATTTTCTGAGGCTCACAAGGCACGCAGTATTTTTTTTTTTTTAACAAGGCATGCAGTATTAAAGAATCCAAGAAATTCTGTAGGAAAAACAATCTGTTTATCTCTGTTTCAACTAGTGATTCCCACACTTATATGACCCCAGTCATTTCTTTTCCCAGTGCCACTTCTTAATATCCCAAGTAACTAGTGGCTTTCGAAACACCTCATGGGACATGAAGCTTAGCTCTAACCATAACCAAAGCATAGATTCACCACAAATGTTGGCCCGGTTATCTAGTAAACGGAATTAAAATACACCCAAGAATGGAACTCTGGGGAACATGATATTCAAAGACAGAGAAAAAGGACTCTAGAGAAAGCTAAGAATGGGAGAATGTGAAGGAGGGAAGATTTCAACAAGGCCAAGTGCCTCAGGGAGATCGAGGAAGACAAGACCTAATGAGGGTCCTTCTGGGTTGTCAGTAAGTGTAATGGTGACCTACTCCTACTTCTAATTTCACTTTGTCACATATAAATCAGGACAGAGTAGCAAGGTTTGAAATAACAGTCCAACCGTGGCATTTAAATTAGCTTTTTAACCTCTTTGAGACTAGGTTTTCTCTCTTCCAGGTGACAAATTGATTTCTTTTGTGTTACATAATTTCCTTTATTTTGACTTTTTAAATGTCACATTTAAAAAAATGTCATCAAAGGATCCAGATAGAAGCAAAATTCGAAGCAAATATTCTGTGCCACAGATATCAGATGACCTCGTTTTTGTAAGAGATATTTCAGAGCATTTCTAGCCATCTGTACCACCAGGTTACCTTCAAGGCTGATACTTACAGGGAACAAGAGAGCTAGGGAACTCTTTTTGTTTCCTGACAGTAGGTAGAATAAGGAGAACAGAAAGGCTGTGTAGAACTATTAAAAGTACAAGAGGTATGTTGGTAGATGCAGAAGAGTTCTTGAAATAGACAAGATAATTTGTTACAAATAGAGACTGAATTTTCTTTTTGTAGGAATATATCTTTGAAATCATAACAAAAAACAGTAAAGGAAATACTCAATTATATAAATATTTGCTTTATATGCAAATTTTACATGAAGTCATTCAATACATATGACAAAGTCTACAGCCCGGTCTTTAAAGTGTTTGACTTTACAAAGTATTCATGAATAAAGTTATATGATTTGTGGGATCTGCTTTACAACAACTCAAACCATTGGATGGGGTGGGAAGGAGGGATAGAGTAGGGGTAAAAATGTGTTGACCGTTTTGGAACTGGGTAATGAGTACATGAAGTACATGGCGAATCATTCCACTATTCTACCTGCTTTTTTATGTGCTTAAATGTTTTCATTTTTAAAAAAGCAAGTGTTTGACTCACCACCATCAGAGTCATCTCTTCCTTGAGGTCATCATAGCGTTCTTCTAAGCGACTGAACTCATTCAGAAGGTTCTGATATCTCAGCCTTTCATCATTAAGATCGAGTTCCAGTTGTTTTGTTTCTTCTACTAACTTCTTCTCCATAGTCTCTGAAAGAAAGAGGGGAAAGCATAACAAAGATGGCTCTACAGAACTCAAGAGGACAAACATGTACACTGACTTCCAGCTTCTCTGCAAAGGGTTTTACTTTTAGCACCATGAACTATGAAGAGTACCTTGGTGAATGCAGGGAAAGCAAATACCATGACAAAAAAAGTAGTTTGTTAACAACAACAATCATCTACTGAGTTCTCCCATGTACTAGGGACACAGTGCCACTAGTCCATTCACCGGTTATAGCACATCCTTGATAAACTCCCACTAGTCATTGTTTAATAACGGAAAGTATTTTCTATTCCAATATTTTGTTTCAGACTATCATAAAATTCTTTTCTACAAATTAGATACTTCTCCAATCTCTGAGGGAGTGGTGACTTCTCAATGAACCCAGCTGTCCTATATCCTAGGTGAAACTCTTCGCTCACCTCAGTCCCCAGGCTGAGATTTTACACTATTGAACAATGCTGAACCACCACGGTCCTATTACTCCATTTCTAACCAGTAAGACCCTGATGCCTGGTCATCTGTGTTGTTACTTCTCTTGTGTGCTGCTGGGGGTACCCTGACCTTTCCATTTCCCACCCCACTCTGCTGTCTCTGTTGTCGGCGGCTTGCATTTGCCTGGGACATCATCTGGAGATGGGAGATGAGCCCCAGACTGCAGATAAAGCAAAGTAAACAGTCTCAGATCTCAGCTGTATATTTTACCTAAATGAGTCCACCAGTCACATTTATCAATATTAAGCTTCCTGATATTTATATGGCCCATTTTATTCTCATGTTTCGTGGCTAAATCCTAGGCTGCGCTGCCTGCTTCGATTGCTTCACCATTTCTTTCCCTGGCAGCTCCATAAGGGCGAGGGCTGCAAGTGTGTTGTCACAACTGCTTCCCTGATGCCCACCACAGTGTTTCCCTCATGTAGGGCTTCAATGTGCGAATGAATGAATGAAAGAATTTCTTCTCCCTATAACATTCTGTAAATTGTCTTTTATTCTCACCCATTTGCAGAAGCTGCATAAGGCTACCAAGAAATTTTCCCTAGGCAAATCCAATGTTAGTTCTTTGTTCTTCTCATCCAATTTCAAGTATTCTCATCATTCTGGATCTTTCCATCACATTCTGCATCCTAGCAGCCTTCTTTCCATGTCTTCAGTGACTGTTTTTACTGTCCCCTAACAATTTTTTTTCTAGTTTCTTTTCTTCACCTTATCCTTTACTTGTGGTCATCCTATAAGGCTTAATTCCAGATTTCTTCCCTTGCCTTTACATTATGCCCTTCAGTTGGGAGGAAGGAGGTAGTGGGGGGCGGGGGGAGTACAAAGGGTTCTCTTATCATCTCAACAAAGCTTTAGTGGGTACCTTAAGGCCTATTTCTTCCTGTCTCTAATCTTTAATCTCAATTTGTTTTCAGGACTCTCTTTTTGGAGGCCCTAGCTGACATCTAAAATTTAATGCTCTAACAACTGATTTCATTAATTTTACTCATAAATAGGTACTTTTCTCCCTCAATTTCCTCATCAGTAATAATACACCATTATTGTTGTAGTACCTCATCTCAAAACTTTATATTGAAATATCACATCAAAAAGGATAACATTCTGGTGGTTCTTTTCATATACTATATCCTCACTCCAATCCATCTCTTTCTCTGTCTCCACCACCAATTACTATAGCTTTAATCTGTATCTTCTTAGCCCACATTTATATATATGTAGACTCCTTGTAAATTATCATCATTCTTATCTATCTCACAAATATCTAATAGAATAAATGTTCACATCTACTTAGTTCTCTATTCAAAAAATTAGAGTTGCCTTTTTTTTTATGTGGAAAAGAGTAATTGATCTTGGGAGGATAATATCCATTGGTTTAGCAAAAAATAAATAAATACATGTAGATACATATATATATATATTAGCTCATGATTTCTTCCTAATTCAATGGAATCCTATAAGTCATAACTAATAAATCATACATGCAGAACAAAATTAATTTTTAAAATATTACACAGGATATTGACTATACATGAATTCACATTTGTACATAGAAAGACCAGATTTAGAAGTTCACCAACTAAATCAACCAAAATATTTACGGTGCTTGCCTCTTGGAACTTCATAAATTTACTGATGACAATCTCAACTGTTTAAAACATTTCCATTTTAAGCAAAGTTGTAACATATAAAACTTTGATCTAAGGCTGGCTGGAGTACGGTAGGTTATACCCACATGAGCCTTACCTGTCATCTCCTTAGCCTGCTCCACGATGAGATGATTGAGGGCCTCTTTTTCCTGCTTCAGCAAAGTATTTTCTTCCTTCAGATTTGATACCAGCTATAAAATAAAACAGTCAACTCAGATGGCTGCAGTAGGCAGAGGACGCCCAGTACTGAATATAAAGACCACACCACAGGCCCTCCTACCTCCACATCTCTGCACCTCATTTCTTTGCGTAGGTCCATGTAGTCATTTTTTTGAACTTGGCTCAAGCATTAGCCCCTCCAGAGAGCCTTCCTGGAAACCCGCCCCAATTAGGTGTCTCTCCTACAGGACCCCGTATGTGCCTCGTTATAGCCCTTATAAATGATTTACTTTTACTTCCCTAAATAGACTAGCAATTCCTGGACGACGGACATAATTGCTGTTGTTTTACTTTGTACCTTGAGCATTTAGCAACTGCCTGGCACCTAATAAGCATTTGCTCTTGAAAGAATGAAAATGCCTTCTCACCTCAACAACCTAACACAAAGCTTATGTGTACTCATGATTCAGGTATTAAGAGAGATGAAGGAGGTTAAGAAAGATATGAAGGGCATTTTGGTTCTGGACTTCACTGGATTCCTTCTGAAGCTCCCTGCTGTCTGTCTCGAGAAAAAGAATTTCCCTTTTTGCAAACTAGCTGCAAAACTAGTCCTTTCATTCCATGTGTAAGCACTGGCCTGACAACATTGTGAAAGTACTGAATGTCACAAAACTGTACACTTAAAAATGGTCAAAGTGCTAAATTTTATGTTATGTATATGTATATTTTGCCCCCCCATACACACACGCGCGTGCGTGCAAACAAAACACATTGACCTTTCACTTTCTAGTTCCCAGTTGGATGAGGATTCCCAGGAAGCAAAAATCAAAACCAAAGGTAAATTTTGCAAAGTTTATAGTTTACTTAGTTCGTTTTTGATATAAATATGTGCTTGTGATGAGTAAAATTTGAATTCCTGTCTCTAAGCATAAATTTAAGGAACTCTTTTTAAATTTTATTTTATTGTTATGTTAATCACCAGACATTACATCATTAGTTTTGGATGTAGTGTTCCATGATTCATTGTTTGTGCATAACACCCAGTGCTCCACGCAGAATGTGCCCTCTTTAATACCTATCACCAGGCTAACCCGTCCCCCCACCCCCTCCCCTCTAGAACCCTGTTTGTTTCTCAGCGTCCATCCTCTCTCATGGTTCGTCTCCCCTAACAGCTTACTTTTTTCCTTTCTTCCTTTCTTCCTTCCTTCCTCCCTCTCTCCCTCCCTCCTTCCTCTCTTTTTAAAGTAAGCTCTATGTCTATGTGGGGCTCAAACTATGACCCCAAGATCAAGAGTCACATGTTAAAGCAATAGCTTTAATAATAAAGAGAAAGTTATCAGGAGTTCAGAAACAGAGAAAGAGGGCTGTGTTAATATTCAGTTGGGTGGTGCACATAGGTTAAGAAAGAGTCTGACTCTCAGTTGGGCTCAGGTCATGATCTCAGGGTTGTGAGACTGAGCCCCTTGTCAGGCTCCATGCTCAGTGGGGAGTCTGTTTCTCTCTCTCTCTCTCTCTCCCTCCCTCTGCCCCTTACCCCATGCATGCATTCTCTCAAATAAATAAAACCTTAAAAAAATATATTCAGAAGTTAGTAGAGAAAAAGCACAGGAAATTGAGAGTGTTGCCAATAGTTACAGACAACAATCAACTTTGTTTTCATTTAAAGATGGTAATACTAGCGGAATTTATGAAAATCTATCACAGTTTTCAAATAAGCTTTATGTTGAGGTGCTTTTATTTTAAACAATACATTGCATTGCTGTTTGAGAACCTTAATGTTTTTTGTATTAAATGAAGTTTTGATAAAAACTTTGATATAAATTTGTAATGTAAAAGCACCAATCTATACGCACTGTTGTTGTTTTTCTATCTGCATAGCAGCCCTTGGCTATAATCAGTGTGCAGACATTTGGATTTTTCCCACTTGGACTTCTCACACAGCCTTAATGCAGGTTTCCATAAAGATCTCTATTATCAGCTAATGACATTTCACTGCTTGATTGGCTTCTTAATCATGTTAACCCTTTTGAAGAAAAAGGAGTCTACACTTCATCCAGACCTATGTATTTAAAGAAAAAGAATGTAGAGTACGTACTTAGCCATTAATTCTCTTCTTACAATACTACTTTGCCTCTGTTCTTACTAGAGTCCAAAGGTTCTACTAAAAGACCTACAACTACTCATCCATCCTGTGGGAGACATGCTTGGAAAACACTAATAATGAACAATAAACAAACATTGTATTTCACCTTCGACTGAAACCAACCTTGAGCCACATGGGCCAGGTCATGACAACAGCACATTTCCTCTGTGAAAGGAGTAGATGGGGATATGAAAAGTAGTTCCTACCTGCTCGGTTTCCTGTTTGTATCTATCTGCACGCTCCTCAATGGATTTTTTCTCTGACTGAGTTTGTTCCAGGTCTTTCCGGAGCTTGGCAATTTCTTCCTGCAGACTGAGGACCCGTCCAGTAGCAATCTTAGCTTCCTCCTCACTTAGTTGGAGACGCTCTAAGTCACTTCGTAGTTTCTCAGTCTCAGAGTTATATATTCCTTCCAGATTGGTCAGTTTCTCCATGAGGCATTTGTAGTCTTTGTTCTTTTAAACACACATATAAGTAACAGTAAGTAAACATATATATATATATCAAGTGTATTTTGAGAAAACCGTATTTATTCAGCGTATTCATGCTATATCATCATAGCATTGATGCCGTATCTAACCAAAATACTAACCACAACCTTTACAATCAATACCCTCTTGAAGTGACATAACGAGAGAAGAGAACAGGCAGAATTAATTCTGTTTTACATCATGAGCAACACAGATGTGATTTTCTCATAGTCACAAGGTGAGTTACTACAGTAAATTCTTAATTTCCTGATTCTTAAACCAGAAATAGAAAAATCTATACTTGCTTTTGAAAATAAATCAGTGTTCTACTGAAAGCCATATGCTAGCCAGGTGAATCAGAAAAATGATAATAAGATGGCCTCAAAATCACAAGTTACTTACAAATCTCTTTATTACCTCAAAACTCTTCCCACTCAGATGAATTCCTCCCTCTTCCTGATGAATCCCCTTTATTCTATTTTCTAGGGGGGTTTTTTTTGTTTTGTTTTGTCTTTTTGCCCTCCTCAGTATTTATGTATTACTAATTATTATGATATTGTTTGCATGTGCTAAAATATTACTTAGTAACTATCTCTAAGAAATCAAATTTTATCCCTGCAAATAGACTGTACATTCCTCAGAAGCATGGACATCTTCCTGCCTCTTTTACCATATCTCAATGCTAAACAACTCATCTGTAAAAGGAACCTTATACTTTATGCAAATGAATGATAATGATGAAAGAGATTTATACAGTATAAAGTACAATATGACTCTTGGTCATAAAGGATTGGAGTGCTAGTAAGTCTGGCTATGTTCTCAGAATAATTTCCTCCCTTCATCCTTGCAAGTATAAACTTACCTATGAGCTTGTCACTATTTCCATAATGACATTAATGTCATTATTATTTTACTTGTTTTTGCTATGATTGAAAAGTAAAGTCAAGGGGAGACACTGCTGAAAATAATCCAGGGAGTTCCTTAGCAGGCCCCACTCCTGGGGCTTCTGAGTAAAACATACCTGCTCATCCACTTTGCGCTGCAGCTGCATGATCTTGTTCTCCATGCCAATGTGGAGCTTCTTGTAGCGCTCCACGGAACGGGCCTCGATCTTGAGCTTCTTCAGCTCGCGCTTGGCCATCATCCGCCGGAAGCAACACTGAAGGTAGATGATGGCATGCATGCTCCTCTTGTAGTGGGTGCGAGCCAGCCAGCCCCGGACCCACTTCTGAATGATAACTGCTTTGTGCTCACGGAGCATCTGCAGAGAAAGGTAAGTACAGGTAATGTCAGACCCTAGACCAGACTCGAGGTTCCACATTATCAACCCAGGTATGTCAGGCTGAGAATCCATATATTGCCTAAAGGGAAGGATACAAAAAATTGAACCAGCAATGTACTAGATGGATTTTACATATCACAAACCTATGCTTGAAGACATGAGGTATGACCAGTAAGCTGACTGTAGAAGCCAATGCTAGAGGTACTACAAAGTTTATTACTGATTTATTGACTTTTCCCCCCCAGAAACAAAAAAAAATGACACTCTTGTTTGCCACATTTGAGGAATACCATTTTAGTGAGGATTTCCCATTGTCATTTCAAATGTAGCAGGAATCCACGTATGAAATTCAAAGATGGTAGGGATGGAGCTTTAAAAGAAAAATAAAAGATGAAATGAACTAATCTTAATTTTGATTTTATATTGTATTTTCTAAAAAAAAAAAAAAAAAGAAAAGAAAAGAAAGAAAAGATATTCCCCCAAACTTACAAACAACTTATAACAAGGTTGCCTTATGAGATGAATTTGTCAGTAATGACCATCAAGTAGGGATTATTGTAAACAATTTCCAGAAATGATAAAGAAAAAGTTCTTGAATTAAAAAAAAATTCTTGAAATTTATGAAAGGTTAAACTAGCAAAACCTTGAGGTCCTTCTAAGTCTATGATTTTATGGAATAACTACCATGTGATATAACTGATATTTAAATGTATGTATTTGATTAAGTATTAACAATTACTACAAATGGATATAATGTACCTCTTATGGAACTTTTTATATGTAAAAATCTCTAAAACTATTCAAATAGACAGTAGTTTGATAAAATCAGTAGAAGAATAGCTCCTGATTTTAGATTATTTAACAAAGAAAAAATGTAACGTTCTAGAGAATACATTTAATAAGTGGCTAAGTTTTCAATACAAAAAAAAATCATAGGTGTTTAGGCGACCTTAACAGTCTCTTTGGCAATTGAAGGCTGCCCTTTCCAGCTGTTCTCCTAATGCTAAGGCAGCCTTCAGTCTCCGCTCAGTCAGCCAGTCAGCGTGTATCATGCTGCAGTGAGGCGAGCAGACCGAGGTCTCACTGAGATCACAATCCTGAGGGAGCCCCTTGTCTGGATGACTAGCGACAAAATGGATAAGACTCAGTGATGGAAACTGAAGGCTTTCAGACTTTAAAACTCAGGACACAGTGGCAAAGCTATTAATGCCAATTTTCCTATGCCATTTCCTTCTCTCCACGTTACTTCGGACACTGGTCCATTTCTGAAATTTCAGTCAAATGGAAACAGTATATAATTAGAGCTTCCACCCTCAATCTCATGTCCATCAATGAGTCAGAGAAATTAAATGACACCTGCTCTCCCTTTAAGATGCCCAAATCCCACGAAGGGAAAGCTTGGACTGGACATAGCTAGGAGCACTGATGGGGTGCTACTGGCCTGTATGTGAGCTAGCCTCTAACCTGCTGCCCCCACTGTGTGTAGTCACTGTGGGAGCTGAGCTGGCCAGAGCCTCTGCTAAACCAATGGCCTCACAACCCAGTTCAGATATTCCTGAGGAAAACGGGAGGGTAACCAGTTTGTTGTATCTAAGAGGTCAAATTTAATAAGGCTTTCCCCCTCCCTGAAAGCTCATGCCTGTAGAGAAAGAGCACCAGAAGGCATGGGCAGAGAGAAAGACCTGGAGAAGCTGTCTTCATAAATTTTCTTCAAAACACAGCTATATGTGTTTTACTCATTCAAGCCTCATTAACTTTCCATTTTTCTTTGTTGTCTAAAATTATTTCAAGGGCGCCTGGGTGGTTCAGTCAGTTAAGCTCCTGCCTGCGGGCCAGGTCATGATCCCAGAGTCCTGGGATCGAGTCCCGCATCGGGCTCCCTGCTCAGCAGGGGGCCTGCTTCTCCCTCTGCCTCTCTCTCTGTCTCTTATGAATAAATAAATAAATAAATCTTAAAAAAATAAATAAAATTATTTCAAAATAAGAAAGTAAGATGAACACATAAATAGGACCTGGCCACACTTATGCACTACTTGTGACCAGAGACATGTCCCTCAAATCACTCTACTGATGCTTCTTCTAATGGAGATGCGCACTGAGCTCTAAGACCCAGACTGTATTTCTGGCTTATTGAGAATATACCTTAAAGACAAACTCGAAACCTTGCCAAAACAAGAGAGAGAAAAATCTTCCATCAATTAGATCACATACTGTCAGAGGTAAGGATTAAGATTTATCTGGTGATCCGTTATAGTCATGTTGATAATTGCTAGATATAAAGATGATTTGTCAAAAATTTCTGGAGCATCATATGCTAGTCAATACAACTTTTAACCACATTAATGTAATTTAGTTCCTTTTCACCATGTTAAAGTCTTCTAAGATTGTTTCATTCTTGGTATGATCTTCTACCCATCTGTCATATATTCTACCCATTCAAAGCTCATCACAGTCGGCTGAATAAAGGCTCCCAAGGACATCAGGTCCTCATCCCTGGAACCTGTGAAGATTACCTTATTTGGGAAAAGGGTCTTTGCAGATGTGATTAAATTAAGGGTCTTGGGGTGCCTGGGGGGCTCAGTTGATTGGGTTTCCAACTCTTGATTTCAGCTCAGGTCGTGATCTCAGGGTTGTGGGATCAAGCCCTGCTTTCGGGCTCCATGCTGAGCACAGAGTCTGCTTATCCCTCGCCCTCCCCCTGCTTCTGTGCTCTCTCTCATGCTCTGTCTCTCTCAAATAAATAAAATCTTTCTTAAAAAATTAAGGGTCTTGAGATAAGGGGATTATCGTGGATTATCCAGGTGGGCCTCAAATCCATCACCAGCATTCTCGGAGGAGACAGACAAGAGAAGCAAAGTTAGACACACAGAGAAGATGATGTGAGGATGGAGGCAGAGGCTGGAGTGATGCGGCCACAAACACAAGGGACAGCAGCAGCTACCCGGCAGAAACCGGAAGAGGCGAGAGACAGATTCTCTCCTAGAGCTTCTGGAGAGAGTACAGCCCGGCTGACACCTTGATTTTGGTCCAGTGATACTGATTTTAGACTTCTGGTCTCAGAACTCTGAGAGTATAAATTACTGTTGTTTTAAGCCAAGTTGTTGGTAATTTATCACAGCAGCCACAGGAAACTAATATAGTCACTTTTTTAAAAAATTTTAAGACTTTATTTATTTGACAGAGAGAGACAGTGAGAGAGGGAACACAAGCAGGGGGAGTGGGAGAGGGAGAAGCAGGCTTCCCGCGGAGCAGGGAGCCCGATGCGGGGCTCAATCCCAGGACCCTGGGACCATGACCTGAGCCAAAGGCAGACGCTTAACAACTGAGCCACCCAGGCGCCCCATAGTCACTTTTTTTCAAATTACATAAAGGGGAAAAAGGAAGGTATTTTTCCACTATCCTATTAATATATATATGTACTTTGAAACAGGATGAAATCAGAGAGGGAGACAAACCATAAGAGACTCTTAATCTCAGGAGACAAACTGAGGTTTGCTGGAGTGGTGGGGGGTGGGAGGGATGGGGTGGCTGGGTGATGGACACTGGGGAGGGTATGTGCTATGGTGAGTGCTGTGAATTGTGTAAGATTGATGAATCACAGACCCGTACCCCTGAAACAAATAATACACTATATGTTAATTTAAAAAATTTATAAGTAAATGTACTTATTTAATATTTAAAAATATATTTCAGTTGTTGGTTGTCTCCATTCAGTTCCTATGTCCACAGGAAGCCCTGTGGTATTTTGTACAAATCTGGAATTTGATTAATGTCAATGGAATGAATAAACAAAGTTGGAAATAATGCCTCACCTTGCGATATCTATTTCTGGCCAAATAACCTCGCAAATAAGACTGAAGAACAATAGTGGCCGATCGTCTTATCTTGTATCTCCTGCGGACTATATACATGCGCCAGTACTTCTGAATAATGGTTGCTGCCTTGGTTCTGCGCAGGAACTTAGTATAGCTGGCCAAAGAGAAGAGGGGTGCACAGTCAGTAATCAGACAAACCCAGGACCACATCCTGTAGAGACTTGAAGCACCAATATATGTTGTTATTGTTAGCATAATAAGTAGTACCTCCACTGCTATTATTCTAATATTGTACACGTTAAGTCACTTATATTTGTATGGCAATTTATAGTTCCCCTAAACATTTTTGCATTCATTATCTGATTTGAGTCTTCCCTAACCCTGAAAAGTAGGATGTCCCATATTCCCTGATATGGGACAATAAAGAAAGTGAAGCTCAAAAAGTTTCTCCCTTTCTAGGATGGTGCTCATTACCCCACGCTATGTCCCTTTTATACAGCTGATGGGCTGTCCGCAGTAATCCCATACTTACTTACCACCAGCTTTCTTACATCTAGCCATTGCTAACATGTGATGTTTCTCCCTGATCTATCTGTTTGGGCCTAAGTTCTTCACCGCCAATTCATCTCTACTGAGAGTTCTAAATTAGAATTATCCTCACATGTAAATCACACTGAAGTCTCATTCCCCTCTAGATCTTCTCAGTTAATTGCTCCTGAAAACTCCTCGGTGGAATCATTATTAACTAGCACATATTCATGACTTTCAATTTACAGATGATTTCTTCAAGACCACATAAAAGTACAAAAAAATAAAAAATACGGAGGACACAAGTAGGCAGTGTTTTGTAATTTTTTTGACGATGAATCCAAATGATTCATAATAAGGGTGAGTGAAATTTTATTCTATTTAACTGTCTTGGGAGTAAATCTGTTATTCTTTGAAACTAAGAAGAGGTGGGGTGTTGCCTTCTCAAATATTAAGACCACCGAAAACTGTCATCAGTTGGACAAGGAACCAGGTGAGCCGTCTGAGCTCAGGGGCCGTGAGTCAGGCTGGACAGGCCACCAAGAGACCTACCATCGGGCCTGGTAGCCTCGCACGTATCTCTGCACGGTGATGGCCGCCTTCCGCATGCGCAGGTACTTCTTTCGCAGCAGCCACCCTCGGATGGTCTTCTGGATCCGGATGCAGGCAGCTCTCAGCTTGTCTGCCCTCAGTTTCTCTAGATAGGCCACTTGACCAGCACGGAAAAAGATCTTTGTCTTACCAAACTGGTATTTGTCCTTGTCCTATTTTTTGGAAGAAATTGTACACTCAGAAAAAGAAATGATGACCATATAAATGGTCAATCTTTTCTCCAAAAGAGAAAAAAATAAGTCTAAAATCAGAATCAGTAAAGGGATGAATCTATTAGCTAGAACTTGGGCTACATCACAATTAACTAATGGAGCCAGATTTCTTATCCTAGGCAAGTTGAGCAAATAGAAGGGATTTTTAAGGAAAACTGCAGTTTAAGAGTTATTTTCCAGAATCATTCTACCTGGAAATTATTATCTGAGGCCAAAAATTTGGTTGTGGGTTACATGCAGTTATTATTTGCGTGTTTGGATTTTAAATATCTCAAGGAAATGGAGATGATGACACTCTCTCTGACTGACTCAGGCTGTAAGCATTACATCGGGCTGTATGTTCCATGAAAAAGCTGAAGGGACAAAAACACCAGCATGAAGAATAAGGCAGGAAGCCATGCACACAAAGTAAGAATTAAACAACAAACAACTTGGCGTATTCTGATCAAGAGTTAAATCTGCAACAGTTGTCTGTTGCCTTTAATCAACAGTATCTGAAAATAAACAAACACAACACTATAAATGTATCTAAAATCCTTCTATGAATTTCAAAACTCCTTTTATAAGAACATAATCACTTGTATTGCTCACTGACTTTATATTACAAGCAGAGTGGAGCAGTAAATACAGGCATGCATGCTATTTTTGGTCTACCACAGTCTTATCCACCTTATCTAGAAGGATGCAGGTTATTAATCATGCTCATGTCAAAAGAAGAGAAGAATTTATTTATAATAATCACTACCATGATCTGAAATTCTAAGGGAAAACAAAGAAAATCACTTTTCAGGGTAAACAGGTATCTCCTATCTTGTATGTGAACCCAGAAAAATCAGAAATCTCCATATATACCTAAAACATCTAAAACTATTTTAATTTAAATCCATAGAGTTTACATAGGCAGCTTAGCTGGAGACACAAGCAGAGCAAGAAGGTGGTTCCTCCGTCCCTCTCCCTGTCCCATCTCAGCTTCCCCACCCCACCCCTGCTCTCCTCTACCATTAGCCTCCTCTATCACACCCACACCCTGCACAGCCCTGAGCCCGGCCTGGCGTGGTCCGGGTGACAACACGGTCTGGGTGAAGGACTGTCCTTACTTTCTGCTCTCCATTCCCATCTGAACCTAGGTTAGAAAGGTGTTGGTCCAAACCCAAAAGCATGATTCTTTTTACACATTACTAAGAAAGTGGCCTTAGTTCTTCCAAAAAAACCCAAAACAAAAACAAGCTATTATTACCAAAGAAGAGATATCACATTTACTTAATATTTAGTAATTAGGACTAATTACCTCAAAGTGAGGTAATCCATTCAAACCAGTATAAAACAAGTGAAAATATTTTTTAAAAAAACCTTTCATGAATCTTAAATTCTTCATGAACTAGATTACCTGTTCTCAAAATGGAGTCCTCAGACCAGCATCACAATCACTTGGGAACTCATTAGAAATGCATGTTATTGGGCCCATCCCAGACCTACTGAATCAAAAATTCTGTGGCTGGGGCCCAGCAATCTGTATTTTAACAAGCTGTCCAGATGACTCTGATGCATTCTGAAGTTTAAGAACTCCCTAGTTTGGCATACAAGACTTTTCAAACACCAACTTATGTTTCTTAACCAAATCCCTACTGTCCCATACATCAGTCTTATACTGGAAAAAAAAAAACAACAACAAAAGAAAAAAAAACACTTTACTGTTTTCTGAGCAAATTCTATGCTTTCCTACTTCTTCACACCTTGCTCCCTATTAGGATGTCCTACTTTCATACAATCTTACCAATTCTTCAGGGCCTAACTCCAAACATACCTCTTCCATGGAATTGTTCCTCCTTCCCATAGCACATGCGGCTTTGTCTTCCTCTGATTTCTTTAGTATTTGATAGACACTAAGGCATATTATACTTATCTCTAAAATGCATGAATTTCCAAGAGAGACTATGTTACCTTAGGACAAGACTTGTTTTTTCTTAATCACACAGTATCTGGCCTGATATCTTCCATAAATAAGCATGAGATGAACTTTTATCGATAATGATCAATCTCTAAAAGGAGTGTGTCTCAAGTCTGGGTCCAGACCTCCCCATCCTGTTCCCTGACAGTAGACCTTCCCTTCACCAGGTCCAGCATCCTAAGCACAGGGAGCCTTGACCTCTAAGACACTGTGCCCCCCCACCCTCCCAACCCCAAATAATCTAGATTAGTGGTATTTGGATTCTCCAGGGCTTGCTTTGAAATGGTACAATCACAAGGCCTTTGGCCACTATCTGTTCAGATAAAGTTAAATGAAAATCCTTCTTACCAGTATCAGTTTCTCTAACACATTCTTGCACGTTTGCTTTCTGTCACTCAGCACATCCTTTTGCTTCATTAGGACACGGTAGCGGCTGAAAAATTCTTGGTAAGTCCACCTATATTTATAAAAAAACTCACATCAGCTTATTGGAAGAGGTAAGAATCTCTCCCAGAGGATCCCTTCCATAGGAACCCTGCCACGCTCACCGTGAGGGGAAGCCCGCTGCACTGATGCGGATGGTTTCCAGGACACCACATGCTCTCAGCTGCTGCACTGCCCTCTTCTCGTCAAACCTATGTGAACGGCAGTGATACACAAAGAAGCTTGGCAACAGCCACAAATTACTCTCCCCAGTCCAGAGATCAAACTCTTTTGTAAGGAGCCAGATGGAAAAATTAGAAAAGAAAACATTCAAAAGTTGGAGTGGGGATCACAATGGAGAACTCTGTGTGACAGTGGGGAGGAGACAATTAGCAGTAAAAATAAGGAGCAGAGCCATAAACATTATCTGTACTTCACACCACAAACCTGTAACAAATACCACTGGGCATATTTAAAGAAATCTAACACCCCTCAGTACTTTGCCCATACTCATTAAATGGCTTGGTCTGATGAGCTGTTCTCTTAGTTCTTTAGCTCGCCATATATAGCTTCCCTAGAATAAAGAATGGCCAACTCTGGAGATTTCTCTAAGCACAAATTAAATATGCCCCATCCAATTATTATTTTTTTAAATATTGGTGTTCTAAAAGTTCTATTCAACTTTGTGTGTACATACAAAGGACTTACAGTGTCCACACCGATATCAATTATTTTTATTTTGTACTATATCTTATACACTTTATTTTACTCTAGACAAATGACATCTTAACATTACACCGACACTAAGAGAGGAAGTAGCAAGGCCTGCCCCTTGCTGGATGGTCACTCTTTGTACTCTCCCAGCTAAGCCCTCAGCACCTTATCTGAGGCTTGTACTATGCGGTCTTCTCGAGTGTTCTGTCGGCTGTGGGAGATGGAGTTGGCTGATGGAAGGTAACGGCCCCTAAGGTTGTCCAGGAGAGTGGCCCAGGCTGTGGCAGCTTTTTCTGCCTCCCATTGCCTCCGGAAAGCGCTTCTCGGCAATCAGGAGGATATAAGTCTTTCAGAACTGCCCTGCATCTAAGGCAGAACCTCAGAGGGCATCATTGGCAAGGGGTAGGAAAATGAGCACTCGTACCCTATGCAGTGAGAGTGGGACTTACAACCTTTGGTAAATGTGCCTAATCTGACCCACAAATTCCCCTTCTAGAAATATATTATCCTAAGAAGATACTCAGGCAAATATACAAGAATGTTTGGCAAAATGTATTTATCATAGCATAGTTGGAACGGTCATCATTTAGGGAATAATTTAAATAAATGATGACATATCTATATGATGAGATACTATGTAGTCATTAAAATGATGATGTGGATTTTTATTTACTAATATGTAAAGCATCCACAATTTATTAAGTTAAAAGCAGATACAAAACCACAATTACAGCACAAGCCCCTTTTATTAGTGTCTCTCTCGCTCGCACACACACACACACCACAGCAGAGAAGAAAGGGATATTGGTTGGTCAAGAAGGATGTATGTGAGTTAATACCAGTTATCCCTTAGTGTATAATGAATGTTTTTCAATTTTTTATGCTATTTTATATTTTTTAAAACCTGTTTTTACAATGCATGTGCATTACTTTTAAAATTAGCGGAAAACTGCCATTTTGAGGAAAAAAAGAAAAACTTCCCCCTCATACATTGTATTTGATGTAGGGCAAGACATTTGGTAATAGTAGACAGGCTGTGATGGTTTCAACAGCTGGAAAGTAGCAGAGAGAACTGTGAACCTTCGCCAAAGCAGCCTTATTCCACCGGGCTCTGGTTTTAACTAATGCCCAAATTAACAAAAGCCCAGAAGGATCTTGAATTAAAGTAAATTCAAAACAGAAAGTAGAACTAGAAATGCCGGGCGCCTGGGTGGCTCAGTCATTAAGCGTCTGCCTTCGGCTCAGGTCATGATCCCAGGGTTCTGGGATCGAGCCCCGCATTGGGCTCCCTGCTCCGTGGGAAGCCTGCTTCTCCCTCTGCCCCTCCCCCTGCTTGTGTTCCTTCTCTTGCTGTGTCTCGCTCTGTCAAAAAAATAAATAGACTCTTTAAAAAAAAAAAAAGAACTAGAAATGCCTGGTTGACCTCAACTTTTAAAATCTTCAAAAGGCCAGCTACGAATTTATTATCACATTCTCCAAAGGAAATGAAAACTTAAAAAAAAAAAAATCTATTAACTAGTGATTTCCCTGTACAAGACATGAAGATTTACCCGAATATTTTTTTTCCTTCTGTTAGTATGGGAATCCCTATGAGACTCGGATGCTTCTTAATTCAGTAGTTGAGAAATACTTACGTGAATGGGAACTTGAAGTCATTCGGTTTAATGCAGCGTACATAGTGAGGGGTAGTGGCATTGAGGGTCTCCATAAGCAGGTGAAGGGAGTTTCGGAACTGCATGAAAAACAGAAGAGAAAGGGCCATCAAGTTTTATCAAAATCGATGTTGTAAAAACAATTTAAAAATTTTTCCAATGACACTAATGGAGATTTGGAGATGATTCTGCCTCCTGTGAACTTGACCCAGCCTCAGAAGGGGGCTGCTACTAAATAAGCATATAGGGCTTTAGGTTAAAATTTGCTTAAACTCTGCCGTTTATATGCTTATTCTACTAAATATACATTTGTTCTCCTCCCACCACTTTTCCTTGCCACTCTTTTCTACAGACTTATTTTCTTAGAGCTGTTTTAGGTTCACAGCAAAATTAACTGAAGAAGGATTTTCCATACACCCCCTGCCCCATCGCAGGCACCAGCTCCCCAATTATCAGTACCCCCAACAGTGCAGTACACTTGTTAAGACTGATGAACATGCTCTGACAAATCACAGCCACCCAAAGTCCATCACTTACGTCAGAGTTCACCCCCTCCTTTAACATAGGCTCCTGTAGCTTTCTGTTGTGAACTCAGAATTTTGACTAAAAATATAATCTTACTTGAAGAATATTAAGTCCATTTATCAGGTACACTGGGAATTCTGCCACAAGAGACTGAAAAAGTAGCAGGTGACTTCCAAGAGCGCAAGGAATGAGCAGGAGGGTGGGAGAAAACAGCCACCTTGGGGCTACCAACAGCGACATGAGGTCAAGCCTGGAGGCTCCAAACCTGTGTTGGGCCCTGCTTCCTATTTCACCTGGGCACACGGTCCCACACATGGGAAAGCAAACTGACTCGCCTCCTGTCCAGAGCCCCCAGCCTTGGTCAGGAACTGTGCATGTGTGTAGTATTTCCCACGCCCCAGAGCCGAGGACATTGAAGAGAGTGCTCTGCTCCTGCACTGAGGGAGCTGGTGCTCTGTACAAATACAGAGAGGAAATGGCCAGAGGACAAACCAAAGGCAGCAGTGGTCTGCGAGGGAGGATATGCACTATAAAAAACCAGACCTAGAGAAGATTATTTTGGGACAGGCTTAAGCAGAGTCATGGGTCTAAAGCTGGGTGGAGAGAGCAGGAGGGGATGGTGTTACGTGTTCTCATAGTAAGAGCTCTAGCCTTTCCCCACCTGAGGACCCCACCTGGGGGACTGACAGAGGAAGACCTGAGGCTTCAACTGAGCTTGAGGGGAAGGAGCCCTGCAGTGGCAGCTCCCCAGAACTCACCTGGTGCCCTACTGTTTTCTTGTGCTCTTTGGCCGCCTGGCCTGGTCTGCCTTTGGTGGGCTTTGCAGGAATACGAGTGAGGGGCATTCGCCCTGACGAGGTGGCTGATGTTGGACTGATGGCCTTCTCATCATCTTGAAATAATTCTGGTAGCATCTTAAACTGAGTCAGAAACAATAAAAGATAATTATACTCTAAATAAACTCAAGTGTAAACCTTCACAGAAGACTTGGAATCCACAGGGCTTCCCTTCCTTCAGTAACCCTTTCCAAAGTCTCATTCGAGAAATAATCAATATCTGTGTTAGGAAACAAAGACATGAGAGGAAGGTGACACCAATGCTACAAAAATATAGGAGGAAAAAACGCAGTGATTATATCGCCTTCTTTGTGGGAAACAAAATCAAAACTACTCCCCTAACACTTGAAATCCTAATCTACAGAAAATGGCCACTATCAACATATTACTGGTCTTGAACTACAATTATTTTATAAGCAAAACACTAATGGAAAGTCCTATCTTATTACTTCAGTTCCACAAAATATTTTATCATCATGCTTCATTTGTCTACCTACTAACTCAAATGGTGAGCACCAGCTAAACAAAATCCACTGAAAATCTCAGCAAGAAGGGTGTCACAAACTAATTCTCCAATAAGATTAAAAAATAATCATAAATTAATAATTTTTGGAAAATAACACAGATTTATAAGGAAAAAAATTAAAAACCCTGCTCTTGTCCTGTATCCTTTTATATTTGTTAAGGGATTGATAACTTGATTGCATAATTCCTGCAATCCATTTTGTGTTGTATCAGATTAGCACTATGAAAGATTATTAAAAGATCTGGCATTTAACAAGTGGATAGATGGTATTAGTCAGTATGGAAGGGAGAAATTTTATGGAACGAAAGAGACTTCAAACTAACCTACAGGAACATCTTGACATATGTATATATCTTTTCAACAGTGACACATTCCGCATTAAGTAAATCCTTCAAATTAAATTACAACTACCTATTATTTGTCTAATAATTTCAGAGTATCTTCAGAAGAAATAATTTTCTTAGAACAGTGCTTCCATTAAAAAACGAAATCACAGAATTTCATTTGCTCTTAATGTGTATTTAATCATAAGGGTAATTTAGGAAATAACTCATGATGTATAAAATAAATTGTTATACAAAACATACCAATAATGGTTGCTTGCTACACAAATGAATGTATCCCTTTTACAGAAAAAATAATATATTCCAGCTTGGTTGGCTATAAAGAGGAAAACATGTTGCACCACTATCTTGTATTACAATGTTAAAGCTGTGTTGCAAAGGGGAAAAATAAGAGTCTCTAATAGACTTGATTTGAAAACCCAAGCTATGTGTATCATGCACCATCCCCCAGCTCCAGCTGCAACAATGCTACAAACTGCAATTACTCCAAATGATTCCTCAGAACCCATAGCTACCTTGTGATAATTAAGGATCCACTAGCCAATAAGAAAGTTAGTCAGAAGAAAGACACGACTGATTACGGGTACCTGGGGAATAAGAACCTGTGAATGTTCCATTTAAGCTAAATTACCTAGGCAGAGTAGTGACACTAGAATTTTATGGTTTTCATCACTATTCATAAATAGAAATAATTTATAATCTAACTGAATAGTACTCCGGGATTGGCACTAGGAGAGAATTTTCTCCTATACATCAGTCCTATAAGCTATAAAGCATTAATGCCCAGTGCTTATGAGTGTAAGTAAAAAACTGACAGACACTTACAGAACTCAGTCATTATTTTTCTGAGGGTTAAAACTGGAACTTAGTCTTGGCCAACAGACACATGAAAAAATGCTCAATATCACTCGGCATCAGGGAAATACAAATCAAAACCATAATGCGATACCACCTCATACCAGTCAAAATGGCTAAAATTAACAAGACAGGAAATGACAGATGTTGGTGAGGATGTGGAATATTACTCAGACATCAAAAAAAAATGAAATAATGCCATTTGCAACGGCATGGAGGGAACTAGAGGGTATTATGCTAAGTGAAATAAGTCAATCAGAGAAAGACAATTATCATATGATCTCACTGATACGTGGAATTTAAGAAACAAAACAGAGGACCATAGGGGAAGAGAGGAAAAAATAAAACAAGATGAAACCAGAGAGGGAGACAAACCATAAGATGCTCTTAATCATAGGAAACAAACTGAGGTTTGCTGGAGGGGAGGGAGGTGGAGGGATGGGGGAAATTAAGGAGGGCATGTGATGTGATGAGCACTGGGTATTACATAAGACTGATGAATCACAGGCCTGTACCTCTGAAACCGATAACACATTATATGTTAATTAATTGAATTTAAATTTAAAAATGTTTATAGAATATTCCCACAGAACTTAAAAAGACTATCTCAGAATAAACTAGGAAAACAAAAGTGCTGGTCAGTAGTCTAGATTCACATGAGTAATTATAGATTTTTAATGAATATCTGAATATTCATTTTGTTAAACTAAGTTTAGTTTCAATTAATTTGAGTGCATAAGGCCATGTTTCCAGTGCATCCATTTAAAATGATACAGTGGGGCGCCTTGGTGGCTCGGTTGAGCATCTGATTCTTGATTTCAGCTCAGGTCATGATCTCAGGGTCCTGGGATCGAGCCCCAAGTCATGTGCCCCACTCATTGGGGAGTCTGTTTGTCTCCCTCTCCCTCTGCCCCCCAACCCCGCTAGTGCTCTGTTTCTCTCTAAAATAAATAAATAATTCTTTAAAAATACATACATACATACATACATACATACATACATAATGCAGCAAAAAACCTGTTTTCTCTCATAGTCTCTCACAAAGGCACAAGAGAGTCTAGAACCACTGTGGAGACAACAATTTCACATAAAACTGAAAGACAACATTGCATAGTGGTTAAGAGCAGACTCTGAGCCAGACAGCTTGTGTTTTAATTTGGCTTGAAAACTTATTAGCTATGAAATCTCTGTGCTTCAGTTCCCTCATCTGTAAAATGGGAGGAATGATTATATCACCTCATTATAAAAATTACATGAGTTAACATTTGTAAGGCATTTAAAACAATACCTGACACACAGTTATGTATTTGATAAATTAAAAACTAATAGTAAATCTGATTTTGTTAGAAAAATCATTATTGTTAAAAAACTAATGCTTAAAAAAAACAAAAAAACTAATGCGTAAGTAATTAACACTTTAATGAATATATCCTGATTACAGAAAGCCTACATTGTTACCTTGCTGGATTTCAGAACTTTGATTTGTTCTTCAAAAACAGTGTCTTTATTCTTTTCCAAAAAGCCTTCACACTGGTATTCCACCTGAAAACACATGCAAAAATCTTCTTAACTAACAGACTTTTGAACAAATATTATAATCATTAACAACAAAAATATATTAGGTTCAGGCTATATGACTGGTTCTCAGCAAATTGGTTATCAGTTTTATTCTAAGAAGCCAGTACCATTCTTGGGAAGAAGTATGTTAACTCTAGAGTAAGACTCCTCAAATACTGCTTTTCCTAGGGAACAGTGGTAGGGCTAACTAGTGATGGTCTAAAAGATTCCCCCAAGTCATAGGTAAGCAGACTCCTAAGAAGTTGACTGTCTTCTCCCATGCTGACTCAATCAGTCTCTATGCTAACCCCTCCAAGGTTTTCAGCAATCTGATGCATCAACTGTAATCAAACACATTAACATTTCTACACTGAAGTATGCAAATATCCAGCCTAAGTGAGATAAAGACGATACAGAACCTCATGTTAGTTCAAGTCAGAGATCAGGTCTAGACATAAAATGAATTATGAAGACTTTTTAGTTTTGAGTTTCTTGGATTTCAGAATTATAGAGGATTGCAGGCTCATATTTATTTCATAATATAATTCCATTTAGGTTAAAGGAAGAGAAAACCAACAAAGCAACACTGAAAAATACTTTTCCTCTAAGACACTAAAGAATGCAAGTTTCAGCAAAGATAAAAATGATATCTCTTGACTATCAATTTTTTTCCTCTTTGAACTTAAATATTCAAAAAGAAAAAAGATAATAAACATTCCTTACTTTGTCAGCAAAATGTTGGATGATGAAAGCTTTGTTTGATAGACGGGGCTTTTCAAAGAGTGCACATTTGTTCAAATGTGTGTTGTACAATTTTTGGGCCCAAGTGTCATCTGTGCCCTTAGGCATCTACATTCAAGGGAGAAAAGAAACAACAACAACAACAACAACAACAAAATAAGGTGAAAATTGTTATAAGGCTCTTCTGAGGCACCAACCAAAAGACCATTTTTTGGCTTTTCTAACAACTTTTATACGCAATTAGGAGCTCATTCCTCTCACATCACTCTGTTAGATGCCAAAACCTAATTACTAATGAAAAGCAATGACTGCGACCTTCTTATGGATGACTCAGCCCAATCTTTGGGCAACTCAATCTGTCTATACCAGGAATCATCAAATAAATATTCTACCTGCTTTTAAAACAACTTCACAAATAAAAGATGAACTATCATGATTTTATGTGTGTGTGTGTTTTTCTTTAGGTAAGCTATATGCCCAATGTGGGGCTCGAACTCATGACCCCCCAAGATCAAGAGTCGCACGCTCTAGCGACTAAGCCTGCCAGGTGCTCCATATCAGGTATTTTCTTAAATTTGTTAAATAAAGGTAATATATGCACACAGTGAAATATTTTCATAATTCAGAAAGGTTTAAAATGAAGAAAATATATTTAAAATAAATATAATTATATTTATGGCCACTAGGTTCTTACTCATTTTTGTTATTGTAAAAATGGCCACACTTACTTCTTTTACATATATATCTTGGGTACTTTTGCAAGTATATTCATAGGGTGAACTCCAGCAGTTCCACTGTTGGGTCCAAAGGTACATGTGCTTATAATTTTGATGAATATTGTCAAATTTCCTCAAAAATATGCTGTATTAATTCATATCCTACCATAAATGAATGGTATTATCAAATTTAAACTCACCTATCTGGGGCGCCTGGGTGGCTCAGTCGGTTAAACGTCCGACTCTTGATTTCAGCTCAGGTCATGATCCCAGGGTCCTGGGATCTAGCCCCATGTTGGGCTCCAGCCCCGTGTTGGGCTCCCTGCTCAGCGCGGAGTCTGCTTGAGATTCTCTCTATCCCTCTCCCTCTGCCCCTGCCCCAGCACACGTGCATTCTCTCTCTCAAAATAAATACTAAAATCTTAAAAGAAAAAAAAACTTGCCTGTCTGATAAGTAAAAAGCAGTATCCCATTTTTGGTTTGATATGCATTTTATTTAATTTCAAGTGAAACTGAGCATTATACTCATTCTTATTGTTGTAGGAAATCTGGATGCTTAGGAGATCAATCTATGGTATAATTTATGACATATAAACTAAAGAGGAGTTAAGAGAAAGGATAGGTTATTTGTCTAAGATCACTCAGTTAGCAGTAAAGCTGGAGATCCATTATTTTCCCAACATGTGGGTCTTCAAATATTAAAGCTAACACTCCCTTTCTACCATATATATCAGTGATA